ATTTATTTAATAACCAGGTAATAAGTCCGCCTGTATAAAAGATAATATATTTTTTTATTAATTTATTATTTTTATAATTAGTATAAACAGTATCTATATAAATTTTAATCTTTTTAATATAATTAACCACCAGGATGATTCTATAGGGGATAATATTTTATAAATATTTATATATATACTTTAAAGTCTTTGTATCTATTACAGTTAGAGTATATATATATCTCTATAAATAGAATATAATATAATATAAATCAGGTTTAGTTTTAATAATTAGCTAGTTTAATTTATTTATAAAACTTTAATATTTATTAATATTAACTTTCTCAGTTAATATCACAGTATAATTTATCTTTGTATAGATAGATATTATAAAAATAGTAATACTTAAGTAAAATTATATATTTATAATAATAAGATATTTCTTTATATAAATAGACTGCCTGAGCAAGATATTACTTATCTTATAATTATATAGAATATTATAATTAAATAAGATCTTTAATTCATCTAGTTCCTTGAATCTGAATACTTTATTAAAATAATATTTTATTAAGATTAGATCTGCCTGCTCAGGACCAGTAATAATAAAATTATTTATTTAAATAATAAATTATATCTTATTATTTTTATATATATACAGATTCTTCAGCAGGGGTTTGAAGCTAACTTCCTGTAATTTTTTATTAAAGATATAGTATTATAAATATACCGCCTGTTATAATTTATAAAAAATTATTTTAAGTAAATATACTTATTCAGGGAGACTCTCATGAAATCTAGTTAATTATTTTATATAAATTTATTTATTTTTTATCTGAGCATATAGATAAACAGAGATAATATTATATTATTTTTAATAAAGATTTTTTATTATTATATTAATTATAAATATTTTGAGAGCAATCTTGCTTGTTATTAAGATAAAGAATTTAATATAATTAATATTAGATATCTAACAGTTACTGTAAACCACTTATTAAATATAAAATTATATAATAATCCTCTTTATATTAATCTTTAAATTAAATATTTATTTATCTAGGATTATACAGGTACCAGTAGAGTAGTTAACTATTTTATATATATTTATTAATTTAATCTTATTAATCTATATAACTATGGCTGCTTTCTAATATAAGATAAGTAAGAATAAAATAACTTCTATATAGATACTTAGTATATTAATCTTATATTATTTAAGAATAGATATAGAAGATAGATTAGATTCTTATTCTAGTATAGTTATCTATTTATTTTCTAGTTGTAAAGAACTTTTCTTCTTTATAATTTATTAGAATTATCTCAGTACAGTGATTGTAATAGCAGAAAATTCAGATTTAATAAATCAGAAGTTATATTTTATATATTTAATAAATAATACTTTATAATCATAAGAATTCTCTATTAAATAGATCAGATTAATAGGCGCAGGAAAGATAGATATAATAAATTCAGTTAATATAGATATAATCTTTATTTTTTTATATATAAGATCAGTAGTGTCATCCTGTATAAGAAAAGTCTTATTATTATTAATTATATTTTTTATATCTTATATAATTATTTTATTAAAATTAATCCCGGTGCCCTGCATCAGCATGATTAAATCTTTAAAAATAAATATAGATATTATAGTTACTCTACCAGGATCTTTATAATTATTCTTATATATATATTCTTTATAGAATATCATATCCCTTGACTATTTAATCTTATTTAAATTAAGATATTATATTAAATAAATATAATTATAATCTTTATTAAATCTAATTAAGTAGCCAGTATCAGCACAGGGGCTTATTTTTCTAGAAGTAATATAATTTTTTATAGATATATATTAATAATAATAATATCTGAATATATATAAGAACTCAAGCAAGATATCAGGATTCGGGAGATTATAATATAATTTATATAGATAAATAGATATTTCTTTAATCTTACTCCCTGCAGGGACTAGATAATTAAGAATTTATATAATAAATTTTATAATAAACAGCTAGAGAGTTATAAGTAAATCTAAATTAAAAATTATAATCCTACTTATCTGGTTAAGCAAATTATTATAATACTTAATAAGATTATTTATCTCAGGTATTCAGAGAGATAATATAATAATATAAATTTCTTAATCTTTATAATATATCTATTCTTTAAATCTATTAAATTTATAGCCTCTATCAAGATACTATAAGATAATATATTTATTAATTATATTCTTATATTTATTGTTCATCTAAATCAGCTTTATAAAAATATTATCTTTTTATTTTAATATAGCTATTCTAACTAATCAGGTAATATTATTTATTATTACTAGAAAATATTTAAATTCTTTATAACTAACTGGGGTTACCTGCTGCATATCTATATATTAGAATTATATAAAATTAAAGATTCTTAGAATAGGATCTTTTAATATTAAGTATTTTATTTTTTCTAAAAAATATATATCACAGTATAGATCCTTATAGTATTTAATTTTAATCTGCTAGTTCTTTATAATAAAGATAATCTTACAGAATTCTATATATTTATATTATTAATATAATAATAGAAAATTAATTATAATAAGAATTAATCCTGTATTCTAAGTATATATAAAAAATATATTTTTATTTTCTTACAGATATCTTATTATTTTATTATCTGTTTCTTTTTATAGGATCAGATTAATTATATTTATATATATTCTGAAATTCTTTTATAAGAAAGTTATAAATAAGAGACTATATATAAGATCCAGTTAATAAAATATCTTGATTTTAATCTCATGGTATTTATTATTTATAGATAAGATTAGAATTTAATAGCTAGTTAATCTAGTAACACTAATTTCTCTATCAGATATTCTATATTTATAGAAATTAGAGATATCTAAATCATAGTAATAATCTAGTAAGATATAGTTAAATATAATATATTAAAAATTGTTTATATCATAGATCTAGTATAATAAATAATTAGTAATACTTCTAACTGCTATTCCAGAGAAGTTTAAAAAAAAATTTTTATTATCTGATCTTATTTTATATAGGATAATATATTAAATAAGTATTTCTATTATCTATTTTACAGGTATAGATTCTGCTGCTTTAAAATTATTTTTTAAGTTTAAATCTAATTTTTCTTCTTTATATTAATTGTTCTAAATCTTGAAGAACTAGATATCTAGAATATATAATTATTATAATCTTAGATATAAGATTATATTAATATATTAATACTTTGTTTAGCTATAGCTAGAATATCTATAATAATTACAGACTCTATTAATATACTTAAATATTATTTTTCTTATTCTAATAATATATTCTTTATAAGAAATATTTTTTATAGAATATATAATCTTCTTCTACTTTTCTTTAGTACTTTTTAGTTTTTATAATAAGTTTTAATCTTTTTATATAATAGCTGTTATTTCTATCCTGTTAAATTTATTATACTATTTTCTTGTATTCTAATAGATAATATAGAAATTACTATTATTATATATAATATTTATATTCTCTAGTATTTTATCTTTTATATAGATAACCCATGCAGGCATATTACTCTATATTTTCTAAAAAAATAAAAATATAGCTGTAAAGGCAGGTATTCTATATTATAAAATCTTAATAAGAATATAATTTACTCAGAAATTATTAATATATTTAATTATTATAGTATACTCAGATCTTCTTAATTTAATAAAATTATATATAATACTTTAGCAAAGTATAATATTATTTTTTAAAATAATTTTTTAAAATATTTTATATATATTATCCACCAGTTCTTTTATATCAGTAGAATCTGTAAATAGATCTAGTATTTTATCTAATATATTCTAAGTTAACTATAACTATGTAATTATTAAATAAATATATTAAATCTTATATTTTTTATAGTTTTTAACAGGTCTAGCCAGATCCTTATTAATTAAATTTAATAAATTAATATTCTTAAGTATTTAATATACTTGAAAGTTTTATTTTATTTAATTTATATATTCTTTTAGTAAGATCAGCAGCTTTAGAATATTATTAAATATTTACTTAGAAAATCTATTTATCTGTAAGATAATCTTGATAATTACTTCTTTCTTTAAAAAAAGATTTTTAAATAAGATTTTATATTTAACTTTATATGTTATACTGGCTGTTCAGTATACTTAATATAAATAAATAAATAAATAAATAAAGTACATTTCTTAATATAAATATATAATTCTATTAGACCTGTTGGGCTTGCTAAGACTGATATTCTATAGAATATCTTATCTAGTAATAATAGCTAGCTATAATAAGATCTGAATAGCTTTACAGTGTAGAGACTGGACTTATAACTTCTTAAGAAGTATTTTATAGAAGCAGTAATAAAAGTAATAACGAAACAAATAAATGGAAGTAAAAGAGTAAGTTAAATTAAGCTATCTAGAAGAGCAAAACAAAGCAACGCGAAGAGATGCTTTATAGGCAGTCCGAGCGCAGCATGTGACTAGCCTACATGAATGCCTCGACACATAGCCTCCATGGTCTAGTGGACGTTGCTAACCGTTAAGCTACATGAATGGCGTGAGGACCAAGAGGGCCGTGCGCAAGAATTCAAGGTGAGCCGAAAGGCAACTCGTGCTTCGCAAGGCTGCATGCAGCTAGGCGCATAAACTGAAAACCAGTATGGAATTAAGTGAGGCTATCAAGCAGTGGTAGATACATCCAGTTTCATCATAACATTGAGTAAGTAGAATAGGAAATGTCAAAATTACTCCTTGCCCTGCTGAGCTGCTTGGTAACTCTGCATCACGCACCAATATCCGGGAATATGCTCGTTCCAGATAGCTCCAAAGCCCTCGATATCGCGCCGCCAATCGCGGTGTCATGATCACCTCACCCCCACCAGCCGTAGAGCAGAAAAGCCTGCGATTATCTGCTACATCTGTGCTTATATCAGAGATTCTCCCTTTCTATGCTACTTCTTCATACACTATTTCTTCCTGTCCCTATTGAAATCCAACCATGGACCTCGATGATCCACCGATAGAGCTTACTCCCTCTCCCATGCGCGTCCTTGTGCAAACACTAACTCACCTCGTTCCGTCGGACAATCTTATCGCCAATGGTGAGCCATACGGTGACTAAGCTACTCTCCATGCTCGACCGAACCTGCAAACATGTTTGGGATTTTCCATATGAACCAGGCCTGCAACGATGGTACTCCTACGGCGACGAGTTTGGCTACAACAACCGGGTCTGCTTTTTCCTATTAGACTATGGCACTGCTCCGAACGGTAATGATGAGGAGGTTCCAATCCAGTGTTTTACGTGGGATGGTGAGAAATTGTATGTTTCTTCTCCCTACTTGTGGAAAACATTCATCAGCAGTGGATTAACGAAACACTATCGCAGCATACCCAAGCCAGATCTTCTCCAGAGCGAAGAGATTCAAGCCGAGTTGAAGGAGGTACCGTTTACACCAGGCCCTTCCGACCGTGGTGAGATACCGCCGATGCGGGATATAGTGCGGCGGAGGCTACGGAAAGCACAGTTTTTGTCGAAACGTGAGCTTGACTATATGGCGGAGCATCAGGAGGATCAAGAGTGGCTGGAAAGAAAGCTGAAACCAAGGTTTTGGGCAAACTTCCTGGAGCAAATGGAGAAGAGGGCAAAAGAAAGGGAGACGGAGAGGGAAGAGCCCAAAGAGGGACAGGAAGTCGACCCGGCACAGGAAGAAGAGAACCGGGCTAAAGCAATGGGGAAATAATTATGCCGTGTACATATGTGGATCAATGCAACTAGCTTCTTCTTTTTTTCCTTTCTGATTCGTTTATTTTCTTTTATTTTACTTGTAGCGATCTTCGTTTAATGCTGTTTCTGATTTCCTACAGCCAATTAGGGAGCATGAGTTGTTCCCTATCTAATTATGCTCAGATTAATGGCAATGGTTGTACTTCTAGAGATACATCTGCCGATTGGATGAAAATCCAATTATGAAGCAGTGATGCGATTCTTTGCGTCCACGGGTGTAGCTAATACTGCTGCATAGTGCGCATTATTCAGATGGCAATGGATGGTAGGTAGCGTACAACAGAGAATAGGAACATGCTATATAGTAGAGTAATTAGCAGAATGTCACAAAGGTACATCATACTAAAAAAACAGACCCAAAGACGGTTCAGCCAGATAATCAACAATCAATCATAAGTAAATCACGTATACAGAGACCACTACTAGGGCGTTCAACGACTCTCGCAGAGCCAATATAACATGTTCACCACTGGCGACATTCACAACGCTCCTGTCCATTCCTGACTTTCCCTCTTCTACGACAATCAGAGCACACAAGGTCGGGGTATGCTGGGTTTCGGCGTGAGCCTCTGCAATCCGGGCAGTCAATCCATTTCCAGCGGAAACCGGCACCATTGCAGTAAATGCAGTCGGAGTCCGCTCGACGGGTTCGGCCTCTGCTGACAGACTTGCCGCTGTGAGCGCTGCTGCTGCTACTGCTGCTGTCGCGGAGCTTGAACAAGGGCATGGCTGATGTTTGGGTCTTGGGGGTGTTAGTTAGGATGGGGCCTTTTGTGCATAACGGGGCTTTTCTCTATGACTGGGAGATAGGCATGCTGAATGAAAAGGAGAGATGGACATGAGGTCTCGCCAAAACAAACAGAATGTAAAGGAAGAGAATACTGACAGATAGGAACACTGACAACTTCGTTCTATTAACCCAAGTTGTAGAAGGGGTGTCAGATCTGTACGAGGAAGTAGATCTATGAAGCCAGACCAGAAACGCGGTTGGACAACAATAGTAGGATTGATCCCTATGCGTAAAGTATAGTAGAAGATATTGAGGTTTGGGAAGGTTGTCTTTCGAATCATGGACGAGAAGTATATGTTCGCGAGGCCAACATCACCTTAAATACCTGATGGCTGCATCTATGACATGCCACGAAGCGCTCAGGGTGCTGAGAGAGATGCCAAACGCATACGCATCTCGTTTCTGGTCCAGAGGCCGAGGCGCACAATGAGCAACACTGCGACTATTCATAGAAACCTTGTAACAACTATCATGGCATGATATCCAATAAGTGACACCAGGGTCGTTAGTCCATCTATGGGATTGAGGTCTCGATCTCCTACTCCCTGAAATCAAGCGCTACAATAACGATTCTGGATGGAGCAGAAATCTGGATGTATCAGTAACCCCTGCTCTTCTGATCATAATTCACACGTAGGTTAAGTGACTTCCAATTGATAGGTTCAGATAGCTGATGATCCAGCGCGAGCGCGCTTGACTGGAGGTTGTTATTAAGACAGCATTGTTCGAACTAGAGATGCATGGACAGGCCTAGACAATGTGATAGCTAGTATGCAAAGGAATGGGTGGCCCCAAAGCAGTCCAGATTGGTTGAGCAGACGCACAGTCCCACTCATTCCAAGCTGCGGCTGACAGGAGTAAGAGTAAACAGCATTGGACTGATAATGTTGCATTTACCCGTCTAGTTGCGTGCGGCTGAGCTGTAAGATGCCTTGCCAGGCGTTGCAGCAGTGCTAAACTTAAAGCCCTGATTTGATTGTTCGATTACGCTCTAATTTATAGACGCGAGAACGCTGTGGTGGGTAAGAGCTCGAGGCCTATCATTTAACACACCCGCTGCTCCTTACCTGCCCTGCTGTAACGGTCCTCACTCACTGGACATGCATCGGCCCCACAGCAATGCCTCTCTTGAGTTACGGTAAGGAAATAGAAACACATCCTATATCTCACAGAAGGTAAGATCTCCAAATTCCCTCGGCGAAGAAGCAGGGCCGAGTTACTGGCGCCAAGGTAGACTAGATTTATTTTTGGCGGCCGGTGAGGGGGCTGAAGCTAGGTACTAGTGCTAGGTCTCGGTAAATAAGCTCATTGGTCCTACTATATGCTGGAATATTGCCTACCGTAGATACCTATCGGAAGTGTGACTTCCGGTTCCTCAAATGTCTGAAGGGAATAGTCGTAGCAAAGCATTTTCGCGGGCTATGCTTCTATGGCTTAAGTGACGGGATGGATGCGTTGTAAACACGAGGTATGAACAAGGAAGGAGACAGCATCAGGAACGAAAGGATATGGACGTTCAGCGCGTAGCCGATGGGCCATGTATGGATGACAAATATGGCGCGCATAACTCAGTGCTCGGGTATAATTGAGAAGACAGGGAAGTGAATCCTTAGACGCCCAGTCAGTACCAGGATAAAGAGTAGTTCAATACGTGCACCAGTGGACCTGGGTTTGCATAAAACTTAGAAATATGGTGTAATAAAGGCTCTTGCATTGAGTATGTCGGCAGTGGCTTTGGATAAAGACAGCAACATCTCAGTCTCTCGACTTTCTACTACCTACAGCATAGAGAGAATTTAGTCATGAATATAGGATAAATAGAATGAAGCGAATATATGTATGTCTCGAAAGACGTGAACATCGCTTTAATATTAGAGCATTGGGAAAGGATTTCCATTACTATTTGAATGAAGTTGGCAACAAGTCACAAGGAGGCCTTCATGTTTCCCTCAGCTTCCAGCGTGGGGGTATGCCGATAAGCTGGTGGAAGAAGTCCTTCCAAGGCTGCTTTGATCTGCAGCGCGAGAGTGCGTGAATGCCATCGGTGCTGCTGCGTGTAACCTCCCATAATCCAGATGTTGTCAAGATTCAAGTGTCGCTTCCACATACCACGGATTTCTCCCTCATCATCAAGACCCCAGGTCGCATCCAAGCGCGAGGCAATGTCTCGAGGTCCGAGGATCCGTTTCTCGCTCCCAGTAGGTTCAGCTTCACCAGCCGACGCATTGGTGCTCGGTTCCCCACCAAGAATCTCCGTGGCTGTTGTTACAATGTTGGAGTCGGAGAAACCAGTACACCAAACAATAGAATCCGCATCAACACAACTACCGTCGGAGAACCGAAGACCTGATTTCGTATAAGCCACAGGTTCAACCCCCGCTTTTACGTTAACCCTTCTCTCCTCGATCAGTTTTGTGCCACCGACATCGATATAATGTCCGCCGGCACGCTCGAGCAGATTATGCATCAATGCGCAGTCGGGGTTTCGGCTATCTAGGACGGGGAAGCCAGCTGCTTCAAGTGCAGCGTATCGCTGCGGTTCGTTCGCAGCGAGCATGGCAAACAAACCACGGGCTATCTGTCCATCCACGACCGCAGGCAGCGATAGTATAAGTTTATCGGCCGCATCGACGCCACCATCATACGCACCGAGACTGTTTTTATCACAGACATACTCGAGCGGCACAACATAAGTAGGGGACCTAACGACCATTGTCGCATCAAGGTCCGCTTTGTGGCAGTCGGAAAGTACATCGAATGCTGTATTTGCAGAGCCAATAACCATTACAGACTTGTACGGTTAGCGTCGCTTGGGAGTCTCTTCGGGATTTTTGAAACAGACATACCTTTGCTCCCTGCTCTCGCAGTAGCTTGGCATTCTTGTACTCGGCCGAGTGAACATTGATGCCCTTGTACAGTTGAGGCTCTGCGATTTGTGGCATGTTAGGCTTTTGAGACCCAATGCCCGTTGCCATGACGAGGTGCTTTGAAGTAGCCCTGCGCTGACCAGCAGGTGACGCAAAAGTAACATGCCACTTTTTAGCCACCTCATCGTACTCTGTCGACAGGACTTTGACGGAGTGGATAGTATTCAAACTAAATGTCTCCACATAACGACGGACCTGTGAAGCCAGGTCCTGGCGCGTAAGGAGGTGAGGAGTCTGAAGCTCTTTGTCATAGCCTGCTTGGGTTAACGCATTGCTCTTGTATATGGATCAAGTAAGGAGAAGTGATCAGAGATGACTAACACATATACGGAAGCTCACAGAATGCTGTGGGGATGTGGAACTGCATGCAGTCATATCGAAGGGCCCAATTGTCACCAGGGCAAGGGTTGCGGTCGACTATAACGCTCTCAACTCCCAGCGCCTTCAGACGTGCGGAGAGAGCGACGCCGCTAGATATGCTTAGCGAATAATCAAAAACCTGCCAGGAACCGAGTCTTACGCATTTCCTGCACCGATGATAAAAACATCGGTTTCGAAATCCATTGATTCATTCAGTTTCCTCCCGGGGAACTGTAGTAGGTTTTCATTTTCTGGTTGCACATCCAAGCTCTCGAGTCTAGTGCTCAAGATCCAGATCTTCCAGGCGATCCTTTGCTCGTCATTTACAACAGGCAGTAGCAACATCTTACCGCGACAGAGACCCGAAGGCGATTGTGTCTTAAAAACGAGCGGACAATCGATGAATTGCTGAACGAGGAAATACATGGTCAGTGCTTGTCACAAATAAGTGAACCAGATAGACTCCTACCAGAACCGGTGTGGCCGGAAGAAACACGGCAGCTCCGTCAACCTCAACACCACCGAAAACATTCCTCAGATTTGCTGTCTCCAGCAGACTTGCAGCAATAGTACGAGGAGCGCTGAATGTGCGCAGGTGCCATGTCAGAGCCAATTGATCCTTCCAATATGCTTGGTCTGCATAGAAGCAAACTTCCAAGGCTTTCATATCGCCAGTGGCCAATGCACTATTCAAAGTGCCTAACACGCCGCGTGCTTGGATTGTTGCTTCGTCACCAACCATGGCCGACAGATCGATCAGATCAAGGGGCAGAGTCGGGAGAGGGTTTTGGTTCATCATGCGGCGCAAGTCCGCACGCTGTGGGTACTCATCCCAAACGGGAGGCTGTGCTGTGCTGTCTGAGCAAACCGTGCTGTTAGTCCTGTGCGCCATGGAGTTGGGGTTTTATATCTCAAGACTCACTAAGGGTCATGACTTCGTTGGGGTGGTAGGGAATGAACTGTCGCACAAGACTGGGAACCCCGCGGGGACCGAGAGCATTTATGGAATGACATGCTGCATGGAAAGTGGAGACGGCCCAACGGCGTGGGAGTTTAACTATGATAGAACAAGGAGACTTTCGACGAAGCCACAGACTGGCGGAGGAATATCGGTAAAGTCTTGATCAAGCTAATCTACACATAATAAAAAACAGAAGTGATATGAAGGGAACAAGGGGCCAATGCAGCCATCACTCCTTCCATTTAGCGAAGGTCGGGTTTCAACAGGGTCATTTCGGACGGCTTGCGCAGTCAAAAACGAGGCTGTCACAAACGATCCAAGCCACCTGGGACCTGTCAAACTATTACTGCGAGTCTGTGGTCTCGACGGCCCGTTTCCGGTATGTTAGCGTCCTACCAACGACAGCGGACTCTTTTCTTAGTTGTCTATGCTCTAGTCGCAGTTTAGTCGGCTCCACAGCGGCAGGGTTCCGGTGCAAGGCGAGCCCATCGCTTATCCTGGTGTCCCACTGCACCTACTCTATTAGATTAAGTGTCACGCCGTTCCTGTCACTATTCCAGAAAGCGATAAGCTGTGATCCTTTCATCTCCACAGGGCGTCGTGTGCCGCAAACTGAGAGGCCGTGATCAACAGGCCAGGTCATTCACACGACCAGCCGGTACGCAACATTAAGTATCTTATTCAAACTCTGAGCAAGGTATCTGGGCTAGATTACTCGTTTATAAAATGTAACGTACTCCGTACCCTCCAGCCTTCATGCAGTATACAGCATGCATCCTATATCGCCCTAAAATGACGTAGCTACCAAGTGCGCTAAGCGCGACCATCCCGAAAAAGGGCATCGTCAAAATCAGTCCACGGCCCAGGCGAATGGTGTGTGTGTGCCTTGCATTAGTAGCAGGCACCAAGTTGCGGCACCCCCTGAGCGGTCCATAATCGCAAAAATTGGGCCTATCACACTGACGATCAAACAGTTCATGCGTGGATTTATGCGCAGTGACATTTGAAGCCTCGACACCCCACAACCATTAAGTTTTCTCTCGGATTTCGAACATGTCTGAAGTTGTGCCATTGTTGACAACCTGTCTTGCGCGAGATGTCACCAGAAGCACTGGCGACTCTCCTCGATGAGCCGGCTCTGGCAGCTCCGTCCGGCGTTACCGCAAATTTTGACAATCCACCGAATAGCAATACGCTGGCTTGGGTGGTAACGACTTTCTGTACCGTGGTACTCACAATATGCTTTCTCTTGCGAATCTTTGCTCGATTATGGTTGGATAGAAGGGTTGGTATCGAGGAAGGTGAGTGATGCTCTAACACCCTTCATGTTCCATTGCCCACTGAAGGAGCCAGACTAACTGAAATTCCCTGTTCCAATAGTGCTGATGATTGGTGCATATGTATTGCTTGACACTGATTCCTCTACTACTAGCTTGTACTTAATCTAATCTCCCATCTAGGGTGCTTATTGGGGTACAGCTTACGCAGGGTATGCCTTGATCTACACCCCTGGTTATTACGTTCATACCTGGAATCTACACAACAGAGACCTCATAAGGCCTCTTTACGTACGTTGATCCTTGGAAGGCAAACGGCATTGCGATTAACTATTACCTTGGCAGTTAATCCTCATTTACGGATGCTGTTACTCGGCCGTCCTGCCTCTCATCAAGACTGCAATCCTACTAGATTGGTGCAGGATCTTCGTCCCTCTCAACCGCACAAGGAACGCCTTCTGGTGGGGATGTGTCTCCGTGATAACACTGCAATGTGTATGGGGTGTGCTGTGCATCCTATTATTAAACATGCAATGCAGGCCTCACGAAGCCATCTGGAAGTTCTATCTTCCAAGCAAATGCTACTCCCTTCCGGACGTGATGCTCACCTCTGCCAGCGTCCAGGTCGCCTCAGATATCACCATGTTCTTTCTCCCACAGCGAATCATCTGGCGTCTCCAAATGAATTGGCAAAAGAAAATCGGAGTCTCAATCATTTTCGGCGTCGGTATACTGTGCGTTTTTCAGATTCATTACTTGACAATGAAATCCAACTAACATCATCCTCTACCAGCGCCTCCGTCGCCGCATGCTTCCGCCTCTCCCACACCGTCGCCTTCGCCAACACAACCGATACCATGTACCTCATCGGCCCACTACTATTCTGGGCCTGCGGAGAAATGACCTGCGGTTTCTTCATTCTCAGTGTACCCTGCCTGTCGAAACTCATCATCGAATCAGGACTGCCGCGTAGTGTGAAGCAATCTCTCGGCTTTGGCTCCAAGCCCAGCGAACCATCATACGAGGACTCGGAGCAACCACATCGCTCAGGGCAGTCTGATGCATTGCGCTCACATCCTATGAGGCCGTGGCTGAAGGGCACAGATACAATCTGGTCTAAAATTGGCGATGAAGATCATGACCATGATGCCCTGAGAAATTCGGGAAAGTCGGAGTCTCAGACGAGTCTCCATAGAGCACAAGCTGACGGTCGGAATTGATCCGGGCTTGCTTAGCGCGGTATTAGAGTTAGGAGTTTCAAGGAAAAATTGGTTATATTTAGAAATATACTTGCGACATACTTAGAGAATAGAGTTACACACATTATTTGAGACTATGAGCCATAACAGTTAATGTGACCTGTCACATCTCGGAGCTTTGCAGTCGCAGTGGAAAACCATTTAAGGGCTTTGGCGAAATAGAGGTACGCCGGACTGAGCGGGTAAGGCTGAGCCACACGCCTCATCGTTAGTTCTCCCCCCCTCGGCGCCCCCTTTTTTTTACAGGTACAAATTTGATCTGTGCCATGTGGAAACTTAGATTATGAACTTCATAGAGTGGCTGGAATCTTCAGCAAACCAATTGTCGACGCAACCGAGTGCAACAGGGAAATACTACCTCGCGATGCATGAAATATATTTCAACGGTCACGAGGTACCCTATTTCGAGTTGATACATTCGAAAGCCAAAAATACATCTTCCGTTAACCACTAAATAAACCATTACTCCTATCCTGTCTCGATCCTCTGAATCACACCCTAACCCCCCAAAACAATATCCCTTTTGGCCTCGGATCCTTCTCCATCATCCCTGCAAACCAACCTCCCTCCCTCAACAGGAAAGATCGCGGGCGTAGAAGCAGGCGGTAATGTTTGGCAGCATGGTTCTGAAAACGTATAGTCCAATTTCTCTTTTTCATTCCGGCGAGGCACCTGGCCCTTAATTTACTGATGATTCTGACTCCACCTATACGTGGTAACACTCAGTTCATTCTCCGGATAAAGGGACATCTATCAAGAGATACACTGTTCCGACTTGCTGCTGATTAGCGCTAGGGTCTCGTGAAATGGTCCAAGGCAGACAGGTGCCTCAACCCTTGCCTTGATGACTGCGATCGGACACACACAATTTCTCCACATATTGCTTCCCATAATCACACTATTCAACAAGTCTGGGGTGTGCTCAGTTGTCGGCTGCAAAGTGTGTCAGCCACTCAACCAGACCCTACTAACTCTCGAAGTTGCTTCTTGTAGAATGTAACACGAGCCTTCCCTTTCAGCATTATTCACAGTCACCCATTTCGAGGCACAATATCATAGCGCAGACACTACCTCGGGCAGGCTTTGCGATTCAGTTCCTACAGGCTGACATCGATTCATACCAGGCGAGGTATATCACGATACGTTCTTGTGCGCTATATCTAACTCTTCTCTGACCCTTCTCTGACCCTTCTCTGACCCTTCTCTGACCCTTCTCTGACCCTTCTCTGACCCTTCTCTGACCATCCTCTCACCATCCTCTCACCATCCTCTCACCATCCTCTCACCATCCTCTCACCATCCTCTCACCATCCTCTCACCATCCTCCGACCATCTTCAGACTCTCTTCTGACGCTCTTCTAACTCTTATCTGACTGTTCTCGACTCTTCTCGTGTCGTACGAAGCTGAATCTGGCCCCAATGAGAAGGATCAAAGTTGCAGTCGATAGTTTGAGAGCTAGAAGGTGTGGCTCCACGCGACATCTTCCCGAAAATCGTCCACTATGTCGTGAATTCGCAGCCAAAGTCACGCCAAGCATACCTTCCGTGACGGCTCGTGAGATGCTCGACTCCCAGCGTCGTTCCCATGTGGGGGACATCCACCATCATCTCCTAACCAGCGGCATTCTGAAGATACGCCTCCAGTTTCCCGATGACGACAGCCAATACCTGGAGCGCATAATACTTAACCTTTGCGCTCATCACGGACATGGGCCTCCTACACGCCACAGCGCTTCCCGAGGCTGGTTCTGGGATGTTCGCCCCAGCTCTGCTGGCCTGCAGACACGAGTTCCTCTCGCACAATCAGAAACCATGCATGAGTTCCAGTGCCACACTGACTGTAGCTACGAGAGCGCACCCCCGAAATACTTTGCGCTTCAAGTTCTGCAGCCTGATCGCTACGGTGGGGGTACCCTGTCCCTCATGACGATTGCCAAGCTCGCGCATCACCTGTCCCCGGCTGTACAGAAAGCTCTATTCGAACCGGAGTTCAAAATCAAAATTCCTCCTGAATTTTCTAAGCATCCTGATAAACAGCACATAATGGGGAGCATCCTTGGATTGGACAAGATGGATAAATCGCTGGTAGTGAGGTTCCGGGAAGACCTGATAGAGCCCATGAACCCCAGGGCTGCGGCAGCATATGAGGAGCTGAAGGATGCGTTGAATGAGCTGGCAAAAAATCCTCAGTCCATGTTACACCTGACAGGGACAGACTTACCCGAACAGTCAATTGTCATACTGGACAACCATAAGTGGCTCCATGGGCGGGATGCCATCAAGGATCCTGCCAGGCATTTGCGTCGAGTGCGATGGAATGCAATGCCGTTCCCCTCCGTTGGTCAGGGTGGCACGGCGGGCTCTTAGAAAGGGCGGCCTAAGTCTCGGACAGGAAGATTAGGAATGTGCTTACTCGATATATTCGTCAACAAGTTGTGCCGCTGCTTCCGCTGTTCAACGTCCACGAGCGTGCGTGATCAGCTTTGCTACAGTACCGAGTTGGTAAGGGCATCTTGAAGTTTCTTAAGTGCAAGAGCAGGCAACATTTACTTGCGAAGGGAACGAGGATAAATCAAATAGAATACAAAAATAGTCAAAAGAAATGAATTGTACTATAGATCTCCAGTCCGAAGACTGGATGCATCCGTATGTTATTCTCTCCAAGGATAGATATTAGCGGTACAAACGCCGCTTAGATAAACCCATTTATAAAGAATTACCATATATTACACCATATCATACGGTCGACAAGCTGATTATGATATATCCCAGTATTTGCGGGTAGCACTTGCCTAAATCGTCTGACACAAAGATAAACTCAGTCTTCCAATCCTTCTTAATGTCATAATCAAGCGGCTGATATATATGTATAAGGCCCAGACGGTGAAATCAAAAAGTACAACACCACTCCGGATATTCTCATCTCAAAACTCCCTACTCTCACCAATGCCACACACATCAAACACTCCTTGTTCTGGTAGACCGCTCTTGACCAGCGCATCCTTCAACAGTCGTGGCGGTTCCATTACATCCTCCTCGGCAACAGCCCAAGTCCCCCAATGGATCCCAATAGCTTTCTTACATCTCGTATCTTTGAGTATTTCCACAGAATCATAGGGATTTGAATGAACAGTGCTCAGGACGTGTCGTGGTCTATATGCTCCGATCGGAATGAGTCCAAGATCGAACGGTCCAACGAACTCTCCGATCTCCTTGAATGCTGGACATACTGGTAGATCGGCGTATTCCGGGCCCCAGTCATCAACATCCTTCGGGAGGTGTGGAACAACGCGATAGCCTGTGTCACCTGCGAAGTAGACCGACTTTCCACCGGAGGAAACGGACCAGGAGGCCCATAATGTCATTGCTTTGTCGAAGGGGGTGCGCGCGGATGTATGTTGACAGGGGAGACAGGAGATTGTTGCTGTGCCTGAGATACCGTGGGGTGGTGGGATTGAAGTGGAGTCTGAAGTGTTATTGTCGGTCGTGGTGGTCAACTCGAGATAGACATCCTCCCACCAATCTAGCTCAATGACATTATCTTTGCCACAGTACTCAAACCACGTTTTAAGGCCCTTGGGTACGCAGAATTTGACTGATGGGTGATGTTTCTGAATTTCAAGAACTGTCGGGTACGAAAGATGGTCATAGTGAGAGTGGCTAATCACAACCTTCACAACTCGTACGTCAGGCATCATCAGACGGAGCATGGGTGTTAAGACCTACACAATCGATGATCGGGATGTCAGATATGTCGCACGGTGGAGGCGTAAATCGTTTGTGTCCCATCCAGGAAAACGGCGAACAGCGATCTTCGAACACGGGATCAAAGAGAACGCGTAGACCACTCGGGAATTCAACGAAGTAGCAGGCGTGACCTAGCCATGTTGCACGCAGCAAGTCGGGGCATGTGGCAGCTGGGAGAAATGTTGGCTTTGTTACAGGTACGGTCGATAGAGTGGTGTCAGGCTTCTGGCTGTTTCCTGAGAAGAACTTGTGTCTGCAAAACTTTGTCAGCCCCTCAAATGCTGTTACCAAAGAAAGAGTGCGTACCTGATCATAGATTTGAATATTTCCGGGAAGGTGAAGTCGCGCGAACTCTCCCATGGATTCCGAAAGCCCTTGACTTCCTCGGTTTGACTTTCATCTCTCACCCAATGGGTCTTTTTGTTCGCACTCTCAGGTGCTGCTGTTGATGTGGACGGCGCACTGAAGGTCCAGGTATATTTTCTTTTCGATGTCATTGTTGTTGTAGATGCTCTTCTCCTAATTAGGTACTGTGCGGGTCCAAGGAAGAAGCTGGGGCAGGGCCTCATCCGCATAGCCGCTTCCCGCAGTCCGCCCAATCTACCTCCCGGAAAAGATTATAACTGGATACAGGACAGGATATATGTGACCCGTCAGCTGGTAATCTTGTTATCAAGGCGTAGCTGCAGGAGCTGGCGCTTAAGCCTCTTTGGGCTGGTTTCAGGCGTCCCATTTTGCCGGTCAGATCCGGGCCACGAACCAATCACACCTCCATCGGCTCGAAGCTTGGTTTCCTTGGTGTATTCCAAAAATAAAAGCTGAGCATATGACCTACGCTCCCAGTTCAGGTGGATGAACAACTTTTGACTGGGCTTTGTTCTTCAATTTGCTCCTGGGTCGTGAATTTCAAAGAATAAAGCGTTACAGTTCTACCCACACAGTCCACTAACCGAACAAAAGAATACGTTCGGTAGCCAAGCGGTCTCATATCGACCACTCTTAATGCAAACTACCCCTGAAACACAAAGTCAAGGAGTCCCAAAGGCGATCCTCGAGGTACATGAACCTCTTTCAGCTCAAACCGGCTGTCGGCTCGCTTAATAACATCGCTCCAGTCCTTCACCTTCCGCTCCTTGGAATTGCAGCCAACAAACATCTGCATGTCCATCGATGCAACCAACTTCCTTACAGGCAATGGGGGCTTCGCGCCTGTTTCTTCGTCATAGTCCTCCGGCATGACAAAATCAAAAACCACCAAATGGTTTCCTGGCTTTAGGACGCCAAGCAAATTACGAACAATCTGCGACACATATTTGTCGGACCAATCATGCAGGACTGACTTGAGCAGAAATACGCCTGCAGGGAGAGCCTGCGGTTCGAAAAAGTCATGGGTTTGGAACTTGATGCGTGAGGCATTGGGAGTGGTATTGATGTTTTCGTCGAAGGCAGACTGCACCGAGGCGAGGTCCTGCACAACAAGATTGAGTTTCGGATAACTTTTAGCAAGAATAACGCTGATATGGCCGGCTGATCCTCCAAGCTGGTTTACTTTAGTATGAAGCTTCTGATATTATCCACGTAATAATAACGGGATGGGGAAAACTCACATCAACAACGGTTGCCTCATCCAAGCTACCCCAGTCGAACTGCTTCAAGACAGACTCAGTCATAACTCCACTCGTCATTCGAAGCCCCTGCATCGCCTCTGCAAAGCGCTTCGCTCGGAACCCTTTTGGCTGACCGGGTCGCTCAGAGTTATCGAGAAGATACCACAGATCTCTACCAATCCGATGGCCATCATATGTCGCCAGTGCAATTGCGCAGGCTGCAACATCCTCGGGAGGCTCGGATTGACCAACAAACCACTTCTTTAAAGCATCTACTCCCACAGTAGCAGCCGGTCGGACATCCTCCATATTATGTTCGAGATATGACTTAACGAACGGGGAACGCACAATGTGCGCTGAAGCCGCCGTGTGCACTACTCGGTCAGAGCCAGGGGCTTCCTCTGCGAAAACGAAGATTGTGAATGCTAATCTGAGGATTCGTCGCACAATTTGCTCGGGCAAGTTGGTTGACTTTGCAATGTCGGCGTAGCTGGCTGAGCCATTGAGAGGGACGGCGTCCCAGAAGTTGAAGTTATTGAACACATCGAAGGCGAGGAGTGCATGGTTAAGCTAATCTGCGTTAGTATGTCTGGAGTATTCTGAAGAACAAAGGTGCTTGCTGTTCTGTATACTTACAAACATGCTTTGCTGAAACCAGAAGTCACTCGGGCCGACAATAAGGTGGTGAAGGGTTTCCAGCGTTTCCAAGAGCTTCAGCCGAGTGCCTTGGATCTCTGCACTTTGGGGTAAGGATGCTGGAGAATCGATCGCGAATGATGGTTCTGGCTGGTTCAATGTCTCTAGCTGATTGGCGAGAGACTTCGAGAGATCAGCGATAGTAGAGCCAAGGGCCTCAATGCCCTGCTTCAACGGAGCCATATTGGAATAGTATCCGGGAGGAGACTGCTGAGTGATTTCCTTCGGTCCAGAGTTCCAGAGAGCATTATGGCAAGATGCAGCTTTTATAGCTACCATTCACTGCAATCCTCCCTTTGTTTTGCAAACGGTCAACACACTCAAACAGGAAGTGATGCTCTTGACATTGCATCAGTACCGCTGGAACCCTCAGGCTGTGAACCAAAGCCACTTTCCAATTCGAGAAAGCACATCGCTAAGATTCATTGTGAAAGCCGACCTCGTTCGTGATCCACCTCGTTTGGACTGCATCATGCGAAAATATCCTAAGTAAAGGGTACAAAAATTGCGACCCAGCTAAGCGGCTCGTATGACCCACCCAAGAACCCGATGCGGTCCGTGCACGCCCTGAACTCTCTAACCATCTCCTGCGACGTGGTTGAAAGAACCACTGATCTGCATTCCGCATTTGGTATGCATGGCGGTGATACCACTCTGGCGCAGCATGATCTCTTGTCAAGCCCCTGAAGCTCACATTGATCACACACAACTGACATGAACACGAAGCTTCTAGAACCAGCGTGGGACCTATGGAAGCGTGCTCTGCGCATGGCAAAGATTAATCCCGCTTTTTACGGCGGCACATCACGCTGCTGAAGTTGGCCCGAAGGGTGTATGCTTCGAAAGAGCATTCCTTCGCATCTAGATAGTGATTCTTGATTACGAAGTAGTCTTATTACTACCCAGACTTCATCCTTCTATTGGTGTGATATTTTTACTTATCTTTCCATAAATCAATAATACGCCATGTCCTCCAATAATTCATTAACCCAACCCCTAGTCTTACCTGCTGTTGAGTCACTGCGACCACCATAGAAACCACGTTTACTGTCATTTTCATTCACGCTTTCTTCCAATAACAGTCTGCCTGGTCCATACATGAAATGCCCCATTGAATGTTTCCTTTCAAACCTCCGGGAGAATCTCCTTCAAACGCCGTCCTACCCCCTCATTACTTGTCTTCCGAGCAATCATATCGTGTACCATCAAGACGCACTCATGAAAAGTATAATCAATGTGTCCGGGTCCTTCACGGGTATCTTTCCTAAGATCCACGAGCCCAACACTCTCAAATAACCGCGGCAGCTCAGGAACCCAGTGAGGCACCAGCCTGGGGTCTGCGGAGCGAGTGATCCGCACTATTTCCTCAATGGCGGCGGTGCTGCATTCGCCGTTAATCTTATCTATGAAGGGAGTGGGTATCCACCTCTCCCCATTAAAGGTCGTCACCAGTCTCTATAACCATGGGATATCAGTCTCTCCGGCAAAGAGCGAGGTTTCACTTATAAATGATCATACTTAGGTGTTTAAGTAGTTTGCTGAGAACGTCCTCGATCTCCTCATCTGATAACACAAATACTATATTGCGGACATGGACTACATCGTAAGCTCCTTCGAGCTCTGTCGGTACGTCTACTTTAATATCCCATCTATATAAACCAACATTGCGAGGGAGTAACTCTCTCTTCGAGCGGAAAGGCGTCTAATGAGGAGTCAAACGCATCAAGGTACACTGACGAAGGAAGACGACGACTTAAATCGGTGAGAACGATTCTACAATCAAACTTCAGTATACTGGCCAACCACTAACTCCGATAGTCGCAAAATAAGAACCTACCCGGTTCCTGCAGCGATGTCTGCAATTTTGAGATTCGCGTTCTGGAGAGGTATGTCTAGGTGCAGGAGGTATCCGAATAGCTCCGTCGTGAGATGGTGTTGTAGTTTGATACTGTCCCCATCGTTTCGAGTGTGGCCATGCTGGTCAGTTAGCTGTTCGCACGTACCGATTGTTGTCAAGATAGTCCCGTGGGAGAACATATTCTGGTGGGGGCATTGTGATAGTGGAGATGTTGGGCAGCTCAGCTAAGTAAGCGCAGTCAGCGACAACTGTACTGCTTAATTTATATTTCCCTGCCGGTCCGACCACGTATTCACGTGCGTAGATTGGCTAATGGCTCACGCTGCTACGCGTAAGCTGTGTCTACTGTGCTTGTTAGATTCCGGATAATCCCGCGGGAGCGGAGCGATGATCTTTATCTGGTCGTTTCGCAAGGCGTGACGGGACGCCTTATCGTTTAAATGGTGCTGGATTGGCCTTAATAAGACCCTGCTAAACACCATAGCCACATTCACTTCTTCTTCAGCCTGTAAAAAGCAGATTATAAATCGCTAGAAGGCCATCATGCCAAAGCAACATACTGTGTAATTCTTTCACTCTTACTTCGCGAAAGCCTGAAACCACAACACAACGGTTTATTCATCTTCTCTACGAGCTGCCAACATTCAGAATGACACCCGAGCAATTCAAATCCATCTGGGATAGAATCTTCACCGGAAACCCAAGCGAAGCTCGTTCATTTTGTGAAGAAGTACTCAACCCCAACTATGTTCGCTTGGAAGCTGGTAGCGACCGAACGGACTTTGAGCGCGCCGTCGAGAAAATTACTTTCTTCCGCCAAAAATGCAAGAAAATAAACAGTTCCTTGCTATTTTTCGCTTACGACAACAAGAAAGTTGCTGCACGGCTGATTTGTGATTTGGCAATGAGTGATGAAGAGGAGAAGAAGCTGGAGGTCATGATCATGGTGGAGCTTGACGACGAGGAGAAGTGGGTGGCTGCTTGGGAGCTTATCACTCCGTATTTGGGTTGATTTTGTGCGGTTAAGTGCGACTAGATGCATGGCAGTTTTGTTCATACGTGAACCTGAAGAATATGCCCACCCCATATATTATTTCAGGGGAGTGCGATGTCCCCGATGAAATTGTGATACGGGTGTATCGTCTTTCTACTACTCAGATTGAACCCGAAATATGCTCTGGAGCTCCTGTTGCCGCTTATGTATCTTCAGCACTAGGATAATTCCTATAGCACGTTTCGGGCTGTTGCTGCTCGGATGACACATGAAATATGGGCTGAGTAGAGTAGAAGAATAGAAGAAAGCTCCAAATAGCCAGGCTCAGAAGATAGTTCGGCTCTACCGGCAGATATGGGGGATAACAATATATGTGCGTTAAAAATGATGCAACAGAGATCATCAAACTTGCAGATAGTGAATTGACTCAGCCGTGAAAGGATTGGAAGTGCGGTCTCGGCTTGTTGGGTCCTGGTATGTTCTAGCATTCAACAACGTATGGCTGTTTGCGTTTCTCAAGGTAACACAGAAATACCATACCTTTCCTTTGCCTAGGTTTGGCAATACATACCCTGGCTGGTTTCTGTTTACCGAAACCCTCGGAAACTGGATTCTTGACTGTAATGCGAGATATCGGCAGTGATTGGACGAAATTGTTGTCATCTGAATGACCAAGTAACCAATTTTGACCAGCCCCGTATGATTGGAAGTTTTTGGACAGCTCCAGGCTACAATATATGAATCTTAAATAGTGAGTATTCTGTTGAGGAAGTGATACGCTTTATCCTGCCTCTGACATGGAATTTGGTGGGAAATGAGCAGACATAGACCCTGACATCTCTGATTCAACGGTTGTTAACCACGACTCATATCTCGATCCTATATTTGAGATCGCCCTGGAGCTTTTATAGAGCATGCAATACATTTCTCCGATAAATAAGATTGCTTTCGACATTACCATGAGAGTGGTGGTAATGCATTTAGATCTTGCGTCTGCCAAGTGTCAACAAGTACACTTCCGACAGAAAATTTCACAAACAGTATATCTCTGCTAATGACCTATCGAGGACATGACATGATACGTGGGCTGATTAGTGATTAAAATAACTAACAGAAGGGGTAACGCTTAGTCTGCTTTATTCCCAGACTGTGTTCCGGTATCTTACCGATGGGTCAGGCAACTGGCTTCTCCAGAAAGCCCTCCTCGGATGTTATCCGAAGCGGACATACCCCGCGGGTATCCAGATCCAATACCCTTATTCATGCCATACTAGCCTCTATGTCTGAAATAAAGGGGGAGCGGACTATCCCTTCTTAAGCATCTATGGAGACTATTTTCATTATTCGCGGTGATTTGGCTCCGTGTTCCACAGCATATACCGCTATCATTGTAACCAGTGGCATAAGGACTTTGCAAAACAATGGAGCAGGATCTTGGAAAAGAAGCAAAGCTAGGTCTTGATGTCGCGCATCTTGAATCTATTGCCTATGCAGGCTTCTCGGACGAAGAGGCCGCAATCCTACGTGCGTATGAAGGAAAGCGGGGCAAGCAGGTTATAAGAAAGGTGAATATGATATGATTCTCAGTCAACACTCTAATATCTTTTTGACAAAATACGAAGATTGACCGACATATTATTCCTGTTCTCGGATTGCTTTACCTTTTCTCGCACGTTGACCCTTCGAACCTGGGTAACGCGAAAATCGAGGGAATGGGTAGGGACCTGAACCTTGTTGGGAACCAGTACAACATTGCGAGCAGTCTATTCTTCGTTCCTTATATTATCTTCGGTAAGTCTGGATTCATGATACTACGGATCACCTCAGTTGCTAATGGTTCTGGATTTGGCTCAGAGATCCCGTCAAACGTAATGCTCAAGAAAACACGTCCAAGCTTTTGGCTTGCAGCCCAGGTTCTCACTTGGGGCATCGTGATGACATGTATGGGTGCTGTTCAAGGCTTCGCAAGCCTAACCGCATGTCGCGTATTGTTGGGCATATGTGAGGTAAGCTCACCCTCATCGTGGGCTTCCACATGCTCACCACGCATTTTGTGTTAAGGCGGGATTTTTTCCTGGCGCTGTCTATCTGGTTACACAGTGGTACCCGCCAAATGTCATCCAACAACGTTTGGCTATTCTATACACAGCTTCGGCCATTTTGGGAGCATTCAGTGGCCTCTTAGCCTTTGGAATATCGAAAATGGACGGCATTCGCGGGATTGCAGGCTGGCGATGGATCTTTATATTGGAGGGTATTGTCCCGTCCGCATTCAGCCTGTTCCTCCCACTTCTGCTACCAGATAGTCCTGAAAAGGTGGGATGGCTCACAGCAGAAGAAAAACAATATCTCGATCTTCGCTTCCGACAGAGCGGCAATCGGTCCACCACCGGAGAAGGTGACAAGTTCTCCTGGTCATTACTGCTCAATACAATGCTAGACTGGAAGATCCTTCTAGGGGCGCTAATGGGCATGGTCAACGCCGCCCCTAATGCGGCATTCTCCTACACAATGCCTACAATCACCAACAAGCTGGGCTTCGAATCGCAGGATGCCCAGTTATTGACGATTCCACCGTACTTCTGCGGTGCTGTCTCTAGTTGGTTGAGTAGCCGACTTGCTGATCGGTTTACTTGGCGTTTCCCAATCATTGTCGCTCCAATGGCCTTGCTGCTTGTATCTTTCTTAATACTCTTGATATTGTCAGCTAATGTTGACGCCTACAAAGGCCCAATGTATTTTGCGATCATTCTAGCACAAATCGGCATTTATCCGTTGCTGCCTGGAATTTCGGCCTGGACCGGGAACAACCTTCCCCAGTCTTGGAAAAGGTCGATTGGTATCGCCTGGCTATTGGCTGCAGCAAATACTGCTTGTGAGTTTTAATCTACTTCATGGACACCTATAATCATCACTGACGTCGCCAGGCTTCATTGGAACAAATGTATTCCTTGATAATCAAGCTCCCCACTATGTGGTCGGATACGGTGTGTCACTTGGGATTATCGCTATGGGAATTATTGCAGCTTGTTCACTTGAATATGCATTGTGGCGCTTGAACCAGCACAAAGACGGTGTTTCTGAGAGTGAAGTTCGTGAGACTTATACTCCGGATCAGCTGGCAGCCATGGGCGAGAAGAGCCCTATTTTCAAGTACACGCTGTAAAAACCCTGGTCTTCTTGCAAACGATCTCTGTCCTCCTTGCCTTATGAAAATCCTGGTTGTCATTAAATATTGTGACTCAATACATGTCTTCGCATGGTGGAGCTCAAATCAAAGAAGACGCATTAAGGATGGGCGTGTTTGTTATGTGAGTGCGTTCCTGTACTCATTGATCTCGGGTGTATATTTTTCTTGACCCTGTCTTCTCTATTCTCCGAAAGAGACATATAGCAAGACGAATCCTTCAATGAAGATGTCTTTCATATACAATATGTCTGATTCATGCTGTTGATTCCCCAATCCGGCCCTTAACGGCTTCTATGTTTGCATATCTGATGTAGATCTTTATGGTAGATGGCGTTTGGTTCGTGATGCATGTAGGTATCCACAACTTAAAATTCCTGTGCATGATTAACGGTCCAAGTAGGTTTAATTTGTTCTCCGTCACGGGATATTCCATAACTCTCAATCTGCACTATGTACGATCCCGGACATGCTTTGCCACCAGCTTGCCATACTACCAGTTTGCCAGTTTTCTCACTGGTATTTGAAGTCCCCGAAAAGGCGTCAGAAAAATGCAAAAGCGTTCGGAGGGCTGGCAACAGCGCCGGGACCCTGTAAATTATAGGTACGGTGAGACTCAGCCAACAGTATAATTCCATTGGAACGGGAATGACTCACATTCATAGGAGCGCTTGTAAAAAAGAAACTATACCTATTCGCTTCACGGCAGGTTTTACTCAACTTCTCCAAGTCGAAAAGTTCTCCAATAGGCATTCCCCACCCAGCAAGCAACCACTCATGAAGATGCCATTGGGTCTGTGTGCAAGGCCAAACTTCCAACGATCGCGTATCGCCTGCAACGGCGCTAACCTTCTTATCCCAGAAAAACCTCAAAATTTCTTCGGAAGGCTCCACCCCGATGTTTTCGGGCTTCTGCTTCCTGTACAGCGCATCAAGTCGCGCTCGTTTGTCTTCGCTCATACCTTCGTATTGACTGATATAGCCGAAGCGAATTATAAGGATATCTCCAGGTCTGATGTCTTCCTCACTTAGTCCTTGATACCTAAGTACCTCAATAAGCTGGTTAAACGGTACGGGATGAGGACTCATGGCATCCACAGTCTGGCCTTTGTCGTGGTACCATTTGTACCAGTCGAGAAGTATGCCACGTCCAGCGATACCTCGTTCTGCAATGTCTGCGACATATAATTGTCGTTAGTATCAACCTGCTGCTCTCGTGCGTATGTTCCAAACAAATTACACATATAGGACTCATACGCTGAACTCCGTTCGGGATTGTGGATGCTTCGAACTCCTTTGCCGTTCGACCCATGTAATAGAGCTGCGTCCATGCCTGTCAGAATATAACCAAAATTTTGTGGCTTTATTTTCCGCTCACTTCTTCGTTCTGGTAGGCATAGTGTCGAAACCCATCCCACTGGGAGCTGCACTGTGGGTTGAACGACCACTACCTTATCTTCAGTAAACCATTTATTTCCAGGAAATCTGGTAGACCTACCTCATCGTCATGAGCGAATTTCAGAGGCACCTTATTGATCAATTTGAGCTCTAGTGTTTTGCGGGTCAAGTGAGGATATGAGGAAGCATTCAGAGCCCAACTATGACTTTCTCCGTTAACAGACCCAGACGTTCCCGGTGCGGCGGCGATGAGTTACTAGTAGCTTACATACTTCAAAGACACCCGGGTTCCGGTTCGAATCTCTTCCTTTGCTGCCCTCGCCACTGCTGAGTCTGTAAGATGATTCAGAGACCCGATCTGATCGTCAGGACCCCAAAGGCCCCAAGCGTTACCGGGAGGGCCATCTTCCTTCAACGGCAAGTCACTGAAGGAGGGGTACACGCGGTTTTTTGAATCCATATCCAGTATATTGTCAGATTTTGCGATTGGTACTATGTGAACTATGGAGTATTTTCATGCTTAAAGCTTATTAATTGCATCAAGTTCTATGCCGGGACCTGGTGCTAACACGGGCATTTTCCGATGAGGAGATCTTCCGATGTCGGTAAATGTCCGCCTTTACATAAGTATGCGCAGATCTAGGACATTTGCCTAAAAGGGTTCTTTGGGGAAGTTTGACAGGTTGGATCGGACGTATTCCACAGTCGTCTGATAAAACGTGATCAATTCGAGACTGGTTGGAAGACTATACGTAGTAGTGAGTCTACCCATCCTTCGCCCCGACATTGCGGCCCTCGGATCTTGGTACTATTTACCGGGCTGTAAGGAGAGGCCCTTGTAGTCTTGGCTAGGATAGTCTGAAAAGCAATGTGCCCCTCGGAAAAAAATAAAGAGAGGGGAAATACATTTTCCTGAATAACAGAAGATATGTGGCAGGAAATTCAGCTAGTATCGATGATACCTAATTGACAATTATATAACTTCGATTCCATCCATGAAGTGACTTAATCATAATAACATGTTCTATTTGCTTATCTCACTCCAGCACACGAAACATTACGAGAAAATAGATAAGTAAACAAACTAGCAAACCATCATTGAAGAACGGTATAGTGAAAATATGTCTAGATTTATTAAAGTCATTAGTTAATTTGAAAGACTTGGGCGACATACTACCTGTGACGGTCACGCAACAGTTCTATTATTCCACAGATGCCCCCCTGCCCCTCGAAAACACGTTTAATCGTCTTTGTCTATCAATGTATGAAAGGCTGCCTCTTCTAGGTGGCGAATCGAACTATTATTTTCGAACTATGGCCGCTTTCCAGCACTCCGAGATTTTTCCCCAATACTGCTTTGGATGTAGCCTCATATGGCCAACATGTGGTGAGCCCTCGAAGAGCTCGAGGTCAACCGCCCGATAGCCTAGGGTCCTAACTTGGGCAACATTCTCTTCAAGGTCCTCAAAACCTATAATCTCGTCTTCCTTGGAGTACAAGTACAGCCGACTGGACTCTCGCGTTGTGACCGACTCATCATTCATTACCCGATCAGCCCAAACTCCAGAAGGTTCTAGCCCACGCAGCCACCCCAGCCCGGAGTGAACCCAGAGGATAGCAAGCCACAATGCCTGCGTGACCATACAAGGCCATGGAAAAAACTTGGATGTGCCCACAGCCATAGCCCGCGACCAGCGGCCGGCTTGTGTGAAGATGGAAAGCCCGCCGGGTGTTGAATCGCAAATAACAAGCTCATGGGGTAGTCTTTTGTCCGCGCCATGACGTTTTTGGTAGGCCGTTATGGTAGCGGCCAAGAATATACCGCCGGTATTTGACATCGAATGCAGGAGAACTCGCTCTTCATTGCTGCCGTCTCCCGTTGGAGTAGGGAAAACAGTGTCAATAACCGGCATCATGTCTTGTATTCTAGCTTCAAGAGGTTGGTTCAGAGCCTGAAAGGTGCTTGACAGTACAAGAAGAATCCGAGCGGACGGGTAAAGATCATGGAAGCCATCGGCATATTTTGAAACGTGCTTCGGCATACCGTCACCCCAGCCGAAGATGATGATTGTGGTTGGCTCTTCCTTTCCGGAAGATTTGACTTTCACTCTGCCATGGTGTAGGTACACGCGGTTCGACAAAAGGAGTAAACTCTGTGGACAGCATTGGTTTGTTTAAACCCTACAACAAGCGGCGGTGGTTGGTTATGTGCAATTGATGTTTACCAAAAACAATGACTCATTAATTGAATGAATAAATGAATGAGTGTGTGAAACTTCAAGCTCGCACGGAAAGGACGTTCATGCTTATGGAAAAGAATTAAATAAAGAGTTGGAGCAGCTGCGACCGTTGGAAACTGTTGGCGTTGAAACGAAAAAAATTATCCTGGTGACTGTCTTTCTTTTCTGAAACATCAACGCCACACCATTGTCGAAACTTTTAGTTCCAAAACGCCCGCCAATGTCTGCTCTGCCAGCAAAGATGTTGGGGATGGCTTTTACATTTTCTAATCATCACTGGCCTAGGACCTCGGTTTGCTTTAAGATTATTAATCGGACGGCATGCAGAGATTCGACGATTCTGAAGTGTGTACTAAGTGAACGGAACATAAGAGGCTGCGTCCTTATTCTTCCCTTGTTGCGAGCCGAAAACAAAGCCGTGCTACTTTTAGTGACTTCTCTAGGCTGAGGCGTATGATGCGAGAACCCAGGCAGACTTGACACTGCTTTCGGCTGTCTGGAGTTCTAATCAAGGGAAAGTGGGTCCGACGGGAGGATGCTCTCGTGGAATGCTAGCTATGAGCGCTCGGATTGGTCAGTAGGAATTCGGGAAGAGCTCATTTTTGACTGACGGTCTTGGGTAAATTCGGACAATTATTATCCTCTATCTAAAGTCGCTCTAACTGTAGATCGCAAAATAACCCAGAAATCTTTCTTCTTTTACAAAGGATTATAATACAGTGTGCAGTACTTGGAGATGACTGAAATGGAGGCGCACAGACCGATGTATTATAAGCGGCGAGAGATCACCTCTCAGGTATTTCCTTGCCTATTTAGAATGTTTAGATTCTGCCTTACACTTCTGCAAAGTTGTTGGTTGTATCTGGACGTCTGCCATTTGAGATAGCTGGATGGAAGATACCGATGCAGTGCTCAAGAACAGATAATTTAGTTAGGTGCCGATCAATCCCTTCCATATCATCGGAAGGGTCCGCACCCTAGTCTGTACTTGCATCACCTCAAACCATTTAAGGAGACTCAAACCGCCATTTGTTGGATATTTGTACAACGGCTGAATCACTGAAGATACCGTACTACCGAGCCCAACCAGTGTCCTACTGAACGTCACAAGAAATGGAACCCGAAAATAACACGTCCACAGACGACAGACAAAGGCTACTACAGGGATATTGGGAATATCAGCTTCAGGACTGGTTTCCAACTGAACGAGGATACAGTATCTCAGTCATGAGAGACTACCAAACCTACAGTGGGCCTGTTGACATCGTCACAGTGACATATGTGCACTCCCGCTTAACGTTCCATATAGTTGTGGGCGAACTTGATATTGAGCACCCTAATTGTTATCTGGATTTATTGGAAGATGTAGTACGCGTAATTATACCACCGATCATTGCCCGCGGCGGCGTACAAAGACTTTTTCCCTGGGGAGCAACTTTGATCGGCGATATAATGACGTTCTACAAAAGACATGACAATGATGACTATCTGACATATGAGCCCTTCAGTAACGTGTATCAGCCATTGGATTACATCAAGGCAGACTTCGAGACGATCACAACCTCTCCCTTTATCATATGGGAAGATCGTATAACTGACTCTCCCCTTGACACACAAGTTAACGGTGCCATGGACAGTGATGAAAGTGGCGCTGATTCAGGGGTATCTGTTGAAACAGTACCATTAGTCGAAATCAACTACCGGCCAACCAACAATGGATACCGTTACGTGAATTCTGTAGAAACTTCTGAAGAAGAATAAATCAGGGAAGATGCAGTTTGTGTCAGGGTTGTTCAGACGGGTACCCTCAGTCTCAACTTTAACAACATGTCAACTATGACAAGTCGGAAATCGCCCATGCCCTAAGCATAATATCTACTATTACAGGTTTAAGCAGCTAATTGATGTCTTCGCCATCCATAGCCAACTGTGTGCAGTAATAAGACAGAAACTTGGGGAACTTGTTCAAATGGTTGCAAAGCTGCAAATCTGGAAAACCACTTTTAAGTCGACGATATCGCGGCCCGTGCCAAGGTTATGGTTATTCTTGAAAATTTGGGGAAGTACCGACCGAGGCATATCCATGTTGATGGAAGTTTCATAGAGTTTCACTTACTAATAGCACCTACAGTAATAGTATATTAAGCTTTCAGATCTCGAACTAATTCACCTTCCTAGTTACCATTCCTGTATCTCACCGCCCAGAAACACCCTAATCATACCTACCTTTCGGCCTCAAGCCAAAGCGTAGCTGAGAATAGAGTCCACCATGGCCACAGAAGCATTAGTTGAACACTGGAAATCAGGTTTAAAATGGTGGTTCCCTCGCAGAGAATGTTTCAGTATCAGTGAAGAATATATGGACACCTTCGAGACAGCAATGTACATTTTGACGGTCTCACATTCTTATTCCCCAGTGACCTTCAAAATAGTCCTTGGCGACGCAGACCCAAAGTATCCGAACCGACATATTCGATTATTGGCTAACCGGGTACGCCCAACAGAGGCGCCTATGCTCAATTCTTGGGGTGAAGAAGTCCATCCATGGGGAGCAACTGTGACTGATGACTCGTTGGCAACCTACAGAAGAATTGGCGACAATCCCTTGTCTGTCCTCGATAGGTTCCCAAATGGAATGCCTAGTATTGCTGCAGCGGATTCACCTATGGCTTACGTTTTCGAAAGGATAAAAAGGGATTTCGAGGAAACAGCAGTTCGCTACAATAGCAGCGAGGGGATGAGTCCTTCCCTGTCCGACTCAGAATGTGATGAATGGTCTATTGTCTCCGATTCCGATGGCGGGAGAGATGGCGTTCCTATTCGTGCGGATTTCGGGGCACCCAGTATATTCAAGAGGGAGTATTCCCCAGAGACCGCAGCGTACCTCGTGGATGCGCCTTCACACAGATCTTTTGACTCTCGTTCCTACGTTGTCAGAGAGACAGAAGGCCGGGAAGGTATGTTTATTCCACATCGGCCCAGCAAAAGCTACGATTGTCCTGCCCCGACTGTGCGTCGATGGCGGGATGAGTGCCGACTTTGAGACTCAGCCAGCGGCTTCTAGGAGTCACTCCGTGTCTATTATGACACACTCACCACTCTATCCCTTCACCGTCATGATATGCGACGAAATGGAAGAGATAAAATGGTTGCCCATGAACTGTGTGAAGGTACTTGGCTGTGTGCTTTGCCTTGATACGTTTGAGGATCCTCTTGCGTTAGGTTATATTTAAGAGTTGAAAGCCATCTTGATGGCTGTCTTAGGTTGGCGGTCTGTCGTCGTGTTCTGAGAAATTCAAAATTTCTCTGTCCCCAACTCAGCCTCAGATAATTGGAATGTAATCTAATCTTATCCGATGTGATATCATCTCATCTGATCTATGTGACGTCCACGCGTCACCGGCGCGTCCATCTATTGGTCTATTGGGGAAAGTGGATTTTCGCGATTGTTCCAACATCTAGGGGATTTGGGTGAGGCGATTGGGTACCCACCTTCTATGGAGTTTGGAAAGGGTTGTGCCATGATGACGGAGTGAATACCGGCGGGTCAATCACTGGAAATAAGATGTACGTAGTGACAAAGTATGTGGTATAGCTGATGTCATCTATACTAGTCACAGCTGGTCTTGCAACTCTTGACACTCTCATTGTAATCTAAATCTCTTGCGTCGGCATTTCATTCCTGTCTAATGTATCCAACCTCTAGCGCAGGATTAACAAAGCTAATAGGAAACTACCACCCATTTCCTTGACATACAATCAGCTCAACGTATCTAGTTCACCACTAGCTCGCGAACCTCCTAACGCGTACCAAGCGCAGCTTTGCGTCTCTTCCCTCCAGCATATCTCCAACTCCTTGCAACCCCAGCAGTAACAGCACTCTTTATGCTTTGGGTGAAACTCGGCCAGCCCACCGTTTGCTGGATTGCCTGATGGACCTCCTGTCGCAGACCAGTATCCATAGCAAGTCGAACATCGAGGGTGTAGTGGGGCAATTCCTCAACTGTTTTGAATTGGACCTCTGCGCAGCTATTGCCGAAGGATATGTCTTCTGGTATTTGGAATGAAGCTTTGCGCGGAACACACTGGGGAAATCACGAACTATACGTCCGCGCACAGATGGATCCACGAACTGCTGCATTCTAGGGTGAAATCCAACGCTCGAAACATAATCCAATCCACCTAGAAATGTGCTATAGAGATTGCGAAACTCACCCAGCTGGTGTTCTATAACATTCTGCACCTTTCGCGGGTCGTCACCTCCAAATGACATCCTCGGGTCCCCGAGATACGAGATGCCCGCTATCGTTACGTGAAGGTCTCGCTCATCGAATGTTTCTGGTAGTAATAAGAGTGCTACCTTAATCGCAGAGGAAATTTTGACTTGATCCGCCTGTCGTATGAGAACGCAGATGCGCACTTGTGTCTCCTTTCTTCCCCAGATTCGAAGCTTATGCGTCCTAATATCATGTATCAGATTTGCCCAAGTCACGGGGGTGGGTACCGTACCCCCTGCGGAAACCCCAAACCAGGTGATCTGCGCCTTGCTGATCTGCAGCTTTGTGCGGGGAGGAGACTCTCGGTGCATTATTACTTTACAAAGTGTGACATAGTTGATGATGGCGTTATTATCTGTTCCAAGCAGATGGGTCCGAGTTCTATTATAATACTTCAGCCAAGTTAATGAACGTGTGCTAGGTACGCTCTTAGTATGAAGCATTACTTTGTTCAACCATCGTTGAATAGGTATATCATTACGTTTTCTTGGGTCTCATTGGCTCGCAACTTACTCATATTCTATCTGTTCTATTTTATTGGGTTCTGTTCCTTTCTTTTCCCGTTCGCTCTCCAATTTTCGTGAGGATTTACCGGATACAGTGAGTAATGAAATGTAAGGGATCGTCGTGGTAGACCTGATGCCCTTATGCAGGCAACAGGAAGCGGATGAGGGATGCGGGGACCCCAGGCAATTGAAACCTTATTTTTTTCACGCTATTTTACCCCGGATTCCCCTGACTTTCTGTGTACAGGTAGAGACTTCCACGGCCAAAACATGACACGTGAATCAAAAATCATAGGTGGCTCGCTTGCAGCGGCACTGTCAGTGACGGATAAGTACTGGTTTCAGCAACCACATTTACTACGGCTGAATCTAGTCCTTCTCGTACCCTTGCTCTCATCCTCCACTTTTGGCTATGATGGTAAGAACTACGAATACTAGTAATAGCCACTTGTGCTACTCCAGGTGCTAAAGATACGTACTTCAGGGTCGTTGATGAACGGACTACAATCTTTGGAACAATGGCAAGACTACTTCAACAATCCCACGGGAAGCCTCTTGGGGACAATAGTCGCGGCGCAGTCTATCGGAAGCGTCATTGCTCTTCCCTTCCTAGGCAACCTCTGCGACTGGTACGGACGCAAGCCGATTCTGCTAGCTGGACTCATCATCATATGCATTGCCGCAGCTATCCAGTGTGCGTCGGTGAACTTGGCCATGTTCATAGTAGCCCGAATTTTGATTGGAATCGGGGGGATGTTCAGCTCCCAACCAAGCCCAATGCTAATTGCGGAGTTGGCTTACCCTACACATCGTGGTAAGTATACTTCGGCGTATTGGACGATGTACTACTTGGGTGCCATTCTATCATCATGGTGCACGTTTGGAACACAGGCTCTATCTAGCAGCTGGTCATGGCGCGTGCCTTCCATCCTGCAAGCAGGGTATCCTCTGGTGCAGCTAGCCTTTCTGTACTGGGTTCCAGAATCCCCACGCTGGCTGGTAGCCCAAAAGAGAATTGAAGAGGCCACGGATATTCTAAAAAGATACCATGCGGGCCAAGAGGATCCGGATGAAGAGCCCTCGCCTCTGGTTGCAATGGAGATCGCTGATATTACAACCGCCATCGAACTGGAAAAGAGCTTCGAAGGCACCGGATGGTCCGCCTTAATTGCAACACCGGGTAGTCCCTTCCCTCCTCCCCTAGATTTGGGCATCAATACTGACATGAAAACAAAGGTAACCGGAAACGAACCATCATTGCAATATGCGTCGGCACCTTCGCACAATGGAACGGCATAGCTGTAGTCTCCTACTTCCTCACTCTAGTCCTAGACTCTGTCGGAATCACATCTTCATACACGCAGACTTTGATAAACGGCTTCCTCCAACTCTTCAACTTCGCCGCCGCATTTATGGCCGCCTTTCTCGTCGACCGACTAGGTCGCCGCACGCTATTCCTCTGGAGTGGCATAGGCATGCTCATCTCGTTCATAGTATGGACCATTTGTTCAGCCCTCAACAGCGAGACCGGCTCCAAGCCCGCAGGGTACGTCGTTATCGTCTGCGTTTTCGTCGTCTACTTCCACTACGACATCGCCTGGACTCCGTTGCTCTTAGGTTACCCCACTGAAATCTTCCCTTACTCGCTCCGCTCGAAGGGCCTGGCTGTGGAAATGATGTCCGTTTACGGATCACTTGTTCTTGCATCTTTCTGTAACCCGATTGGAATGGAGAACTTGGGATGGAGGTATTACATTGTGTTTTGTCTCTTTCTTATGGGGATACTAGCTACTGTTTATTTCTATTTCCCGGAGACGAAGGGTCATACGCTGGAAGAGATAGCTGTCATTTTCGATGGTGAGCGATCGGGTCTGCGGCACGGTGATGATGATTTTCTCGTGGGTGGGAAGAATAGTGGGCCTTCCTCGCATGTGGAAGTTGTCTAATATGGTGTAAATATCTTGTTGCGCAGGACGTGTAGAATTGGAGTCATTCTGGGAGTAGCATATTTTGTATGGACAAAGGGGCCTGATTAAGTCTTGGCACTTTGCGGGAAGATGACGGGCAGCACGGTTTCATAACTATTCGTTCAGCTGATGGACCAAGGCGAATAATAATAAATCGAATAAATTGAAATTACATTATATACAATTGCCCCTATCGTATGACTCTGTCCGCTGGGCATTGTGGGCGCAGCTTACTGCCCTAGTTGGTTTTTCTTCCGGGTAATTCGGGCTCTGATTCCCTCACCTGAATAATATATTTTCGCATTAATAGGAAACTTCTTGTTTCTATAAGACGCCGTATTAACGATGAGAGTTTTCTTCGTCTATTATGTTAGACAGAGAGTTAATTCTTCCCAATCATGTACCTTGGCAGTGGGTGCTGTGCTTATATTGACGCTCCTCGGGCGGAGGCAGTGTTGATTACAAACTCAATAATACGAGAGGCCACCGTGGCCCACCAACGAAGTTCTGTTCTGCTTGGCAACATATTGACGAAGGAATACTAAACATATGTTGCCTGCCAGGCACCAACAATATATTCAGGTCATAAATCGAAGAAAATCGCCTCAATCCGCGGACGGAAAAGGCATGAATTGGATTTGCCGAGACCTAAGATGGACAGTAAGCACCGCATCCAGCTATCCACGCGAAGGAGGCTAACTTCACGAGAACTCTCGAAGTGGATCTTCGGTGAGAGACACTATCGTATCTTGCTCCTTGGAGAAGACAGCTGTGGCAAGACAACCTTTCTCCGCCGTCTCAAATTCGGCGATATTGGAGAGCAGGAACCTCTACCGACGAGGGACTTGAATATTGAGACGGTGGATTACCCTGCCACCTATGAGTGGAGTATATGGGAGTTTCGGAGTACGTTACTTCTAATTTTTTATCTTTCATTCTAAATTCGTGCTGTATTTTTTTTATCTTGGTCTGGTAGATGCTAACCGATGAGCATCAGTCCAATGCGGGCCGTTGATTTGGCGGGAGCTTGCGCCACACACTCTGGTTGTATGGTTGCACGATTGCTCTACCGAGGAGTGGCCATCATAGAAGTTCCGCAGTTTGCTCGACCAGATGGTGGAGAGAGGATGTCGGTATATCTGGGTTGGGTTGAATAAGCAAGATTCGCCGGATGTCTCGAAGGAGGTGGTTCAGGAGGCGCGACGTAAGTATGAGGAGGAATTGGCGAAGTATAAGGATGAAATCTCGTGGAAAGTACTAACACATAATCTGAGTTCGAAGACTGGGGTCGGGGTATTTGTAGTTCTCGAGGACATCTACCAGACCGTGAAGAGGGTGAATCTGGAGCCTGCGAAGGAGGGCAAACGGGATAAGAAGGGGACGGTCATAAGTGACTCAACGGATGAAGAATTGACTACCGAACAGCTGCAACATCGAGTTGGCAAGGAGATTACTGGCGACACGCTCGATGCCGATGCGTTCTGGACATCCTTCTTGAACGGAGACTTGCCAGTGTGGACTCATTACACGTATCTGAAGGCGCTCTATTTCGTCATACTCGAGTCGGCGAAGAAAACCTTCTGTGAAGTTGCAGAGGACTTCATCATTCACCTGAACCGACTGAGAAAGACATCTCCCCAGCTATTCAACAACAGCGAGACACCAAGAGCCTACGTCGAAGCTCCATTCAACAGATGCCTAGTCACATTCTGGACTTTACAACTGCAACACGGAATCTGGGACTATCGAATGCACACTATGAGTGCAAATCTCCCATCCCGAGAAGAGTTCCCCAAAATCCTCCGCCACTCGGCATCATTGATGAACACCTATCTCTGGAAGAGTTATTACTCCTTCAACCCCGTCTCCAGGCCACGGGACGTCTGGTCAATCCCAGATTTACGGCCTCTCCCAATACAGACAGATTATCTCCGTGATCCAGCGACAGTGCCTAGGATAGACAAGAGACCAGATAGGCTCATGCGCTATGCCTTCGCTGTGATGCAGTATGTGCGGAACACGGGGACGGCGCGCGAGCAAGTAATTACACAGGCGCTGGTAGCACTCCAGCAAACTACTATGCGGGCGAGGACGAGTGATTCGACCGTTGAGACCTACTCGGAGACACAGGCGTATTTCTGGATTCAGATAGTCAATGCTGCGTTGCGGTCGCTGGATGATGAGAAGCGGGCGATTGATACTCCAGAGATGTCGTACGAGGCATTCCAGGACACTTTCCATCTCAAACCAGCAGGCTGGGAAGAGTATTACTCGAACAAAGTCTGGAATAGCGTTGCTGCGCGATCGCAGTTCGTGATGCCTGATCTCAAGCCGCTGCCGAACATCATAGCAGCTCTCCCTAGTAAAGAAACTAGAAGGATATCAGAAGCAATACCGGAGCTCCCATCCGCTGAAGAGCTTACATTTCGTACCAGGATGGCCTGCGAGGGATTGACGCCGACACTGCAACAATCAGGCCCGCCGGTCCTCAGTCACGCTCACCTCCTGTTCTACCTTCACAATCGCTTTACACAAGATGGCGGTAAAATGTCGCGGGAGAAGCTCAAGTCCCGAGCCAGAGAACTGTTCAGCGAGATAGCAGGCCCGATGGTAGCTGGGGCGACGCACCGAAACTTCTGGATCCAGCAGGTGGGAGTTGCAGTGTCGAATTCGGATATTGGCAGGGGCCATTCGACATTTCCGGAATTTATTATGAGTAACCTCCACATGGTCTTCGAGGGGCTGCATAGTATTTATTATGGACCAGAAGTCTGGAATAGCGCTAATGCGGTGGAGAAGATCCTCGCTCCTGATAGACGAAGGATGGAGCCGATCGTCGATATGGTGGACCTGAACATGTCTGCAGGTGCAATATAAGTTGCTCGTGCATCAAAATGTTGAAAGTCTCAGCGCATATGAACACGATCATGAATATATTGACTTGCTTGACCAACAATGCATTATTAATCAAGGTGTCGAGTCAAGATGTCACTAGAGTTCAAGATGATCCAAGGAGTTCCATTCAGTGGGACTTACAACGGCACAGATAACATATCCGCAATTCCAGCACAGAGGGTTCGGGGCATACGAGTACATATCCTAGATTACTCAACGAGGATCCAGCTCCGTATCCAGGCAATGCGGTGCAGGTAAATAGAATTATGTCTTGATGTGGAAGGCATTGAGAGACAAGTTTCGAGACAAATTGTTTTGGATTTCTGTATCCTTCCTATCTACTCTTTCCTTGATTGAGTAGACAGAATTTACCATAATTATCCACCCAGAGTCAGGCTGAGACCGGTTCTTAAAAGCCTTCAGCCTTCATCATCATATGATACTTGCTTCGCATCCGAATCCTCGGCCCGAAATGATAAAACACCCACGGCAGGGGAGCAAACGCCAAGGCAAAGAACCCCAATAAGCTAGAACCCCAGGGTACCCCCAAGCCGTCATATAGATACGTGCCAAACAGTGGGAAGACTGCGCCGAAGATAGAACGGAACACTGCATTAGCTGCAAGCGCACTTGCGCCATACGGCCCGTAGCAGTCAGTGAGATAGGACGTGATGGCGAGAAAGAGTAATATCAGACTGAAGCCGAAAGGTGCACCTGATATAATGCCCACAATCCAGTGCGTCGGAGGCATCGCGGTCCAACCAAACCAGAATAAGCTGGCGGGGATCAGCCAGGACAAGACGATGATATGGGGTAGTCGGGCTTCTGGCTCTGGGCCGAGTTTGGTGACATATGTCGCATGAATTCTGTTCACGTACGGCGAGGCAATTGTCGCTATTGCCATGCCTGTTCCCATGCCTAGGAATGAGAGACCAGATATACCGGCAGTCCAACCACGGGACTGTTCATATACGATCGGATACGCCGTAAAGTCCAGGTATAGGATTCCGTATATGAAAGCCATATAGAGCGATAGTAGAAAGAGAATGGGCTCCGCGAAGAGCATCAGCCAAGGGCGGGTTAGAGAGGTCATAAGTTGTGAGTTGAGAGACGGGCCGTCCTGGACGACGCCCTGACGACGAGCCTTATCTCGCAGAAGCTTAGGCGCATATGTTTCTGGCAAGAAGAGCACACATGCCGCATACACTACGCCACTAACAATGAGAACCACCCAGAAGTTCCATCTCCAGGAGAGGTACTCGGAAATAAACCCGCCCGCAACAGGCGCGAAGACGGGTCCAAGGAAGCTACCGGCGGAAAACAAAGCCAAAGGCACAGACCGTTCGCTTTGCGGCCAGAGGTCCGTGATAGAACCACCCGAGTTTGTGACGGACGGAGAACCAAAAAAGCCGGTCAAGAATCGGAAGATAATGAGGGATGCTATATTTGGCGCCAACGCGCAGCCGATCTGGAAGAGAACAAACAGTCCTAGAGTAAGCCGGAAAATGTAGTTTCGGCCACTATAGCAACCCTAGACGCATGAGCCAGCAGCTACAGGAACGAGGGATTCGACAGACTGACTAGACTTCAGACAGGGGAGCGAAGATCAGGGGCCCTGATGCAAATCCCAGAAGAAATGTCGTCACCCCAAGAGTGGCGACGGTGCGTGAACAGCCATAAGTGGCAGTGATGAGGCTGGTTCCAGCGGTGTAGATACTCGAGCAGAAAGCAATGACTCCCGTCATCACCGCCACAATCACCGTACACACCCCTAGATCATCGTTGATTGTTGATTAATTTCACTCTCCTATCATCAGAGGCCTAATACGAGCAAATCTTACACTTTCTGGTTCTTGGCCATTGTCTGGGATCTTCCTTCTCATCGAGTTGGAGAAAGCCCTCATTTGCATTAGTAATGCACTGACCGGGGGTCTCGGTCGCTTCCGGATGACCCATTTGATCCACTCGTGGCTCGCTGGCGCTGGCCCCCAGTGGAAGAATTGTGATGGAAAAAAAGTAGAATTGAACGCTGAGCCATTCAAGGCCATCAAGACCGGGGGCGGCTCCTTAAGTAGAATCATGGTAGCGCATTTGGAACCCCGGTGAGGCTGCTAGTCCTAAGGGACCGATGGCGATAACCCTTTCGCGCCTGTAACCTAACAGGTCTTAGGGTGGCCTATCAAAGGAACATAAGCCTTGGAGCTAGAGCAAACCAAACCAGGTACCCCGGTTCAGGCTGACGTGGCTCATAAGGCTAATAATCGAAACTTATCTCTCCGGGGCAACGTGCCGGGGGAAATTATTTTCGACGGATCTCACGATATAGGTCGTGCCGCCCTTTTTGAACGCCCCTAGAAGAACCATTGCCATAATTAATTTGCGTTATCCTGTCGTTGTCTTACTATATTTGCGCATATCGTCGCACTTGTCCGGATTGGGGCCCGATGAAGTTTAATATCATTTCTCTGCCTCTTCTCAAACTTCGGCTCCCTGATATATCTAAGTCTGTTGCTGTAATAGTGAGACGTTGAAGTTATGTTGACAGCCCAATAATCACTTATCTCCCTCTTTTGGTGCCATGATGGACACCGGCATCGTTGCTTCAGATGTAGGAGATCTATATCTGACTATCTTTCTTCGGGGCCAAGTTCATCGTATTAGGGCAGAAAACTTACCCACAAAAGGGTATTCTTTTGAAGCGCTAGCAATGCTCTGATAAACCAGCGCCCATTCCCAACATACAATAGCACCCCTCGGAACCGAGAATCCGGAACTTTCATCCGATCTCAAGGTATAATTGCCATCGAAACTAGACAATCTTCTTTTGGGGAGAACTCTTTACCCCTTGGTGTGTTTATGCAGGAGGATCTCGATGTAGGACTTTCTTGGATCGTACAGTATGGCGTTATATTCCCTTGCCTTCACTCCATATAACCGCTGGGTGGCTCAGGAACTGATCTATCTTCGTGCTGACGACGAGTTATAGGAACCAGATTGACCTCAATTCTCCATCAAGCGGAATTTAGATGATAATGCACATATCTGAGCGATTCTCCATGGAAGGCAGGTGGCTTATTATCCAAATGCTGCCCAGTTTATTAACCCGAGGAGATTCTCATTGGAAGGGAGAACGCGATCGTTGGATCGCCCGGACGATAAAGTCACCTCGCGAGCCTGGGGTTATACAGCGGCTCCTTTGACCAAGTGATTATCGAAATTATACATCAATTCAAACGTGGGAAGGGCCGATGAGCCATGACGAGTTCCACATCCCAGGATTAACATTTTAGATTGATGGTGTCCATGACGATCAAGGTCCTGGTTTCGCGTTTAGATATAAACATGCTAGCGAGATACTTTCCGCGTTCGGTCCGATCCACTCTCCATGCGGCTTCCTGATTATCCCTTTGTCATCCCGACTTGATCGACAGTATAGCAATCATACCGTCTCACTGTTCACATGCTTTGTTAAAGGTAGGATATACGGCGAATCACGGGACGCCTGATCGTCGTTGTGTGAAAGGATGAAGCCAAAGCTCCACGGCACCCGATTGCCGCAGTTGACGCTTATCGGAAAAGCCCGCATATGCTATAATCGAGCATCATATACGCCATAAGCCTCAATGGCTGACTATAATGGAGACATGAACGTGGATATATTGATGTAATCTGTTGGCAGTAGCAATATTTTCCTTTGTCTGGCGTCCAGTCAAGGCAGCTTTTGACCTTCCTCCCTAAACCAATACTCAACAATTGACGCGGATGTACTCTCTTCATCGGGGCGAGTAATCAAATAGCAGAACAAGGTCATCTTCTACTTGGAAAAGTCCGATGTCTCGAAGCTAACTCCGGATCTGGCCTACGCATCATCTGGAGCATCCCAGATGGACCACCAGTAATGGAGGATGCGCCGAGAACTATCAAGGTGGCATACTACTACTAATCAATTGAACTAATATCACCGACTGTGTGAGGGTTGTCGTTGACACGTGATATAACCAAGTGAATTGAATGACTGATGGTCGACAACTCTTCTTCATGCTGCTGACTGGAGACCCTCCACCGGTTTACCCCACAGACCAGGAGCAAGTTTCCTCCAGTTCTCACCACATTCCAGGATTATCTCTATCCTAGGGGAAGCGTTTACAGATAAGTCTTTCTCAAAAACACAGAGTCAATACCAGAAGAAGATTGAGCCTATAGCTCGCCAGGTAAGGATGAGGCACTGAAATGAACCCATCGGAGTTACCGGCCTTTCTATCTGCAATCTGCTCGCAGTGTAACTGACCGTTTCTTTGAGATTATCCCAGAGATCTACCGCACAAGCAATACACAACATGCTCTCCACACCCATGTTCATCTGCAACCCAGATGTGTCTGCTACTTCATCTCTCCCAGTCCCACCACAGGCAGAGTCCGCTCCAAACCGGCGATTCCGTCCGGAAGAGTTATACCCAGAACACTTTACTCTGAGAGACATTGAGGTACCAAGCGGTGACATGATCTTTCTCGCCTGTCCAGGCTCGGAACGAAAATGCCCCTGTTGTGGTTATCACGCGCATCATCCGAATTCTATCGTGATTGCAATAGACGGAGCGTGCCGTAATAATGGCAGAGACGGAGCCCGGGCGTCAATCGGGGTTTACCACGGCCCTGACCATGGATGGAATGAGAGCGCCCGTCTTTCCCCGGAACTCATACAGACCAATCAGGTCGCCGAGCTTGCAGCCTGCGAGATAGCCGTGCTCTATGCATGCGTCATCCAGAAGAACTGGGATAATATAGCGGAAGAGATAGAGGGTGATAAAGGAAAGCTTTGCACAGTGGTCATCAAGTCAGACTCGGAGTATGTGGTGCGCGGGATGACTGAATGGATATATAAGTGGAAGGCTAATGGTTGGGTCAATGCAAAAGGCTTGCCAGTTACTAATCGAGAGCACTTTGATAGGATTGACTCTATTGTCGAATCTCTCGAGAAGGAGCAGGTCACTGTCCAGTTCTGGCATGTTCCTAGAGAATACAACCAGGAGGCGGATAAGCTGGCAACATCTGCCCTCGATGGTAACTGAATGACTACACTCGTATTTAAAAGGGGATATGTTTATTATTGATGTATGGGTTGATTCTGTGTGCTTACTAGTTATTCTCGCAGCTTGTGCTGTCATGGCAGATGTCGAAATTGTCTTTCAATTGCCTTGTCGAACTCTATGCAGAAAGCGTAACAAAGCTGTGTCAAATACCAAACGCTCATAGCTATTATGGAACTCTTTTCTCTAGTTCCTCCCAACTAAAATATGTGTGACAGTAATAGCTTGATGTAAAGAAATACATGGAAAAGGTTTGCTCTCCTTTTGTGTAGAATGCCAGGTATGATATCAATGTGAAGATTCGAGTAGCGAATGTGAGTGCTCAAGGCGAACAGCGCCTTATCGTTCATCTGCACTGGGATAAGATGAGCCAAAAAGCTCATTTTCCTAGTTCCACCCCGTTTCTCTAAGCTTGGATTGATAAATAAAGAATCTCACCCAGCACCCGACGATGTGGATAGTATCAAGTTCTCGATATTTCCCTTCAGGAGGCACGGCATCGAAGGAAGGCCAGCTTATGTGTCTGTCTCTGTAAAGCTATGTCAACATCTCTGCGATTGGTAGATGTAGACAGAGATGAACATGCTAACTACTGATCATCCAGTATCAACTGATGGTTATAATTGTTTTTCATATATCTGTACATACTCGTTGGATGTCTGGCAGTTATTGATGAACCGTCTGACAGGTTGATGGTTGGGCGTTGTCAACTCCATCTACCAGATTGGAATATTCTTTAGAGCTCTCATCACGACCTAGACATCTGACGATTTCGGTTATACAATATAATCCCTTACCGGAATATTGTTTCTCGACGTCGGCACACACTTACATTCAGCCATACTGAATGATACTGTCCTCCTTATTGCTCGCTTTATCGTCGGTGTGAGTAGCGGTTGCATGGGGAAAGCAGCCCGGTTATTCTTGGATGAGATCTCCTATTGATAACATCGGCATCGCTCTAGTGACAATACTCTCCATAAGAATGATCCTTGGGAATAATGTTTGGCCTGAAACCTGAAATCATCGTATATCTGGCTGGGCGTAGGCATTATACAGAGCAGCAAGTGCTACAAACATGACATTTATGGGTCGGAACACTCGTACTTTGATGAACTGAACAGATGTCTTTTCTTCTGTTTCTAGAAGTAGAAGTGTTAGTTCAGTTAGGGCAACAAGTCAGACTAGCAATTATTGATCCAAGGAGACCTTTTATTGCCAAGAGGGATAGGCGCTCATAGCGTTTACAACTAGCGGGGTCGATTCCACACATGGTATCCAGGGATGTATTGAGATTATATCCACCCAGGCCAAAGAAGGAAAGAAACACGGGTACGAGATATATCGTAGATATGAGCAGATAAATCGCAAATCTCTACCTAATGCACGCATACTACTCACCCCTTCTTGGTTTGTCTCATACTAATCAGCAGTTGCATATGCACCCCACAGTGTTTTTTCCCGGATAACCTCGGCCTCTACTGTATTGCCCGCGACCGACTGGCAGAATATGCTTTTTCCAATTGCATTGGCACCTTGGCAAGCATCATTTCCATGCGTGCTGCGCGCAAAGTGACCAGATGAGACATGATTACAAAAGATATCTAGATAGCACGCAATCCCAACTACCAAGACACTACCACTATCCGGGTACGATTCCCTAGTTAGTAAAGTCTCCACTAAGTAAGTCGGTGCCTAGACGCTAAATCCGATTTGGGGGTTAGCACCAAGCGGGACCTGAGCACGCTGCATATTTTGGAGAGCTGCACAACATGGGATAATTCTGGGCTTGGCAGTTGCTGTTTACGCGACAATGTGAGCACTTTGTCGTCGAGTCTCACGAAATCGGAACTATCACAGAAGTGAGAAAGCTATTGATTCTCAATATGTTCTTTGCCACACGTAATACCCGGTTTGATGAGATCAAAAGCTTGACAATGCTCTTGGCGGACCAATCAATACTTATGGTCATGCACAGGGTAAGCGAAGCTCACGACAGAGAACCGTTCGAAGGATCATTGCATGGTATGTCCAGAATCCTTCGATAGCCGGATGCTGTCAAGTCCGCCACTAGCACACCATATAAATCAGGTATGTATTTGAAGCTGCTTCGTAAGATATAGCACCTGGCTGACCCGTCGGTCTCCAAAAAGGAAGTACCTCGGGAGACAACGTGATAGTATTCGACCAATACCTGGAGTGGACTTTCAGTGACCTCCAGTATGGCCAGGGTTGATGCCGGAGCATCCCGGATCGCTCAGGGCGCGCAATTCTGTCCCCAACGCTTCGCCCCGCTCTAAGAGCATAAGCGCCAAGCCCGGCCGACAACGGACAGACAATTCCGCGGTCTCCGTATAATAGTTACTGTCAGAGCATCCTCAGTAGCCTAGAATAGTGTACTGGAATCCCCAGAGACAGATCGCAAACAATAACCAGATCAGGCAGTGCGCATTTCACCGGTCGAACCACCCTCGTATTTTCGGGTTCGGGGCAGACTACCAAATTAATGCTAGATCCAGTTTGGTCTGCCGGTGCAGTTGAGACATCATACCTGTAGCACAGTGCGATTGTTGCCAAAGCCAAAATAAGCTCAGAGGCAATGAGACGATGCAGTGCATGCGAAATGCTGTTTGACTTTCTGCGATGGCGTCATCTTGGAATTGCAAGTAGTCTGGCTAGTTGTGCTTGATTCCAGGTATGCCGGTTTAATATCACTTCTGCCTAATGAGCCCCTACTGCTGATTTGTTGGCTCTGAAAAACTGTTGATACTTGGTCAGGTGCCTGTATGGCATCAATGCCGAAGCGGAATTGACTGTTGGCGCTTGGGTCTCGTCTTTGGCTTTGTCCCCGCCTGTACTCCATGTCTGCTCCCGCTAGATTGTGAGCGGTGTCTTGGTGTTGAGCACTTGATCAATATCATTCGCCAGTGTGCCTGTTGCTAACTGGGGGGGCATGATAAACGAAGGATCAGATCGCGTTTGTACCACATTATAGCTTCCAAGTCAAGAAAGTATTTCTCCGGACTTTTGGAGAAGCCACAAACATCATCACGCTCAGTTGTCCGACTGTTAGCTCACTCCGCTTCCACTAGGAATGGACGTCCTTCCAGAAGGATCCGCTAATAATGAATGGCTTCCAGGCTTCACCAGCGTCACTTTTGAGTGCTCTGCGTTCATTGGCGATAAAGTGCTGACCCTATCTAACCGGGGGCAAGCCGTCTTGCCGAGGCTTCATCACGCGTGCTGCCCCACTGTAAGTCTAGGGGCCAATCATTAACATGTGTAGACTAGCGGGTAGGCCGAATCGGTTTCACGCGCAGGGCAAGGAGTTGTCTCAATCAATAGTCCGCCAGTGATCTTCCAGCACTCTCCTATTTCACCTGGGGTCGTAGTGCGCGTCCTAAAAGAGAGCCAAGCATTGAGTGTCACGCATGGAATAATGTATGCATTCTGTAATCGCGCGGTGGTTATTGACATTGACCCTGGTCAACTGGGCGCTAACCAATCCGCCTTGGAAAAAGGTAAACTTCAAGAATAGTGCGGTAGATGACGAAGCGAGCGGGTCCGAGTGGCTGTCAGCGGCGGCACTTATCGCTCGTCACTTTCCAGTCGTCACAACTCGGGCAGGCCATTCGCAGGATATCGTCCGCCACAGATCAGATAATTCCCCCGGATAAAGACACTTTGAGTTTCCTTGCTTTTGCCAATCATCACAGCCGAAGCGTTGTCTTGGCCTCACGCGGGCAACCTCCGTACTATTGAAGTTCAGACACCGTGGCCAATTGTATTTTCGGAGATAAAATCATCTTGCGCTGTTGTGCCAAGGACAAACAGATTGAAAGTATCTCGCAGCGCTGGGGCTGGTGCCGCCACTCAGTGGGGAAAAAATAATTGCCAGCGACCGTCCCAAAGCCCCCAATGGCGCGAAGGGGAAGATTTCACGGACAGGATAAGTGATAACCTCGATAGTGGAGCCAGCTTCAGGTCCGGATCCACGGTGGCTTTCTTGGCGGTGCTGGAGAATGCTGGGTGATAGCCAATCACGGCCAACTGCAACTCGTTCGCGTCGTCGTTGGACTCCGCCGCGAATGGATATCGGCTTCGATGGATCGCTTCGACGCCGCGTGGATGGGGCGCTTTGGTATCCGTTTCGGGTGTTGAAGCTGTTGGAGCCACCCTCTCCTGAACGACCAACCCGACCGTATGAGACATTCTTATTCTCGCTGGGATTCCACCTGCCTGGGGGCAAAGTTCGGTGATATGATGAGCGCCGACTCTGCGCCTTGCCGTCGCTCCCGAGAAGACTATCGTCCCCGATAGTTCCTTTTGTTCCGCCTTACCCCAGATCCGAAAGTTTGTCTCCTTTCCTCCTTCCCTTGGACAGCTCTCGTCGCTCTGTCCTACCGCGATGATCCAATGTCCTCGTGGACTTCCGCCCTCTCTCGCGCCAATCGCCTACGTTCAAGGCTTTCAGCCCTCCATGTTGTTACGATTGGCGCCATAATCAGTCTCTCCTACCTCTTCTACACCTTCGCCGTTCCCCAACTGAATCGACTGAGGCTTCGCGCGGATCTGAGTTGGTATGATCTGGGCCTGTACGGTTTTGGTCCCTCGAAAAGCTACGTCTCCTTCGAATATGAATCTCCCGCGGTACAAATCTCAGAATGGGAGTCGGGCTGCGACTCGCGATATACCTTTCTAGCCCCTAGGGGTGACTCGGTGGCCCAGCCGGGGCCTATGATCCTTGACTCCAGGGGGGAGCTGGTGTGGATGAAATACAACTGGGACGTGACTCAGGACTTCAAGGTCCAGCGATATCAGGACACAGACTATCTGACATACTGGGAAGGTGGTGAAACCGAAGGCCGAGGCTATGGGGCCTGGTATATGGTAGGTGTCACGCGACCCTGTCGCATAGAGTAGCGTGCTGATCTGGATAGCTGGATTCGACATATACCCAACGATATGTGATTTCTCCGGTAGGAAATTATGGTGGCGATCTCCATGAATTCCACATCACTCTCGAAGGAACGGCTCTCGTTACGATATACGATCCAGTACCGGCCGACTTGACTCCTGTTGGTGGCCCCGAATTAGGCTGGATATATGACGGCGTCTTCCAGGAAATAGATATCGCTACGGGCGAGCTGATCTTCGAATGGCGCGCATCGAAGCATTATCCCATAAATACCACATACGAGCACCTGGGCAAGTCGGGACGAGTGCGCGGGTATGCGTTTGACTTCTACCACATCAATAGCGTGGACAAGGATGACAATGGGAATTATATCGTCTCGGCACGCCATACCCATACCGTGAGCTGCATAGACAAGGACACTGGTGAAGTATTATGGACCTTGGGCGGAAAGCTGAATGAGTTCCACGATCTTTCAGATGGTCAGGCCACCAACTTCGCCTGGCAGCATGATGCACGGTGGCACGCCAACAGTACCTTGACCCTTTTCGACAATGCATCACATTCGAACGATGATCCAGATAACCAAAGTCGCGGTGTCGTCATCGAACTTGATCTTGCCGCTCGCCAGGCGTCATTGCGCGCTGAGTACTTTCATCCTCAGCAAATGCGATCCTTGTCACAAGGAAACGTCCAAGTTCTGGACGATAGTGGCCGAGTTCTAGTCGAGTGGGGCCATAGCGCTGCATTCAGTGAGTTCAGTGCCGACGGACAATTGCTGTGCAACACTCATTTCGGTGCCTCTGCCTTCTTCGGGTTTGGCAGAGTGGTATCTTATCGTGCCTATAAGGGCACCTGGGTTGGCCGACCGCAGACGGTCCCCGACGCCGAAGTACTAGGAAACCACGTGTATGTGAGCTGGAACGGTGCAACAGAGGTTGTTGCTTGGCGACTGGAAGTCTGGGACTCGGATGACTTGAATGACAATACGTTCCGTGTTGTGTCCCAGTTCCAGAAAGATGGCTTCGAGACTGAGATCGAAATACCCGAGGGTCTCGAGCTTCCTTTGTTCCGCTTAGCGGCATTAGATTCCGATGGTAATGTTCTAGGCGCCACGGAACTGCTCCAGCGAGAGCAGGGTGGAAGCTTTGAGCAAGTCATGAACCCTCAGTACTGGTTTATTGTCATGGCCTTTGTCATCAGTGGAGTTGGCTTGTTTGTTGGTCTCTATACGTGCTGTGGCTGGGGCCGTTATTTCCGTCGGTGTCGCTCACGGTCCAGCGAGTACCAATTGGTTGCCTTTAGCGACAGCGATGGCTCTGTTTGATGTGCGGATCGGATATGACAGGCCGCTCCGTTGTATATATCTGTCTCAATCTGTATATATGATACCCTCATTCCAAAATGTCATTGGGAGCATTACTGGCTTATTGCAAACGTTCACGTCTTGATCGATGGATGTAGAACAGAAAATCATCTGAAGAGGAGATGGAGTTAGTCCATTATGTGTCTACGACGGTGAAGTGGATAACGCAGTGTCTAGGACGCTCACAGCATGGGATCGTCATGGCCGTCCAGAGCGTGCCAGGGCACTGCTGGTGCTTTGAGAGCGATTCATTCAGATGGTAAACCATTGGCCATAAGGATATCACGACTTGGATGGAAAATGCTACATTGAGATGAGAATGGAGAAAGATGCAGAGGAGCAAAGGTAGTGAGACCTAATGCAGACGAGAGTACAAATTCACCTGGCTATCCCAATCAGGTAACCACCAGAAGAAGCTGACTCAACCTCCCCGGCAGGCACCCAGGCACCAAGGCATCCAGGCCGCCAACCCCGGTTATCCACGGGGATCGGGGCGCATTCCCCGCATGAAGCAAGATGCCTTCATTGATAAACCAAGGGGGAGGGAGGTCTTTCCCGTACCTCCCTCGTTCTCCAGGCGTTCTCATTCTACTATCTGAACCTCCAACCTCTCCTGAGTTGTCCACGATGCCTTCACTCCGTCTCCCCAAAATACCAATACCCCGAGCTCCCTACCGGGGATACTCCACCTCCGCACCATCCCCTTCCTCACGCCTGAACCTCCCCATCGACTACAGATCGACACCGCTCCTCCACCACACGGCCTCCAGCCTTTCAAACCACCCAGACCTACCCAGCAATCCGACCTCAAAATCTATCAATCTCTATCAAGCCATTAACTCCGCATTACGTACCGCCCTCTCCACTTCCAACAAGGTGATGCTCTTCGGCGAAGACGTCGCTTTTGGCGGCGTCTTCCGCTGCTCGATGGACCTACAGACTGAATTCGGCTCGGAACGAGTCTTCAACACACCCCTTACAGAGCAAGGGATCGTCGGCTTTGCCATCGGCGCAGCAGCTCAGGGGATGACGCCCGTCGCGGAGATCCAGTTCGCAGACTACGTGTTCCCGGCATTCGATCAGATCGTGAACGAGGCAGCGAAGTTTCGGTTCCGGGAGGGAGCAACAGGGGTAGATATTGGGGGTATGGTGGTGCGGATGCCGTGTGGTGCGGTCGGTCATGGTGCTTTGTAGGTGGCATACCGTCTCCCGTCTACTATTGCTTCTTGAGTACGGGGGAGCTATGGCTAACGTGATGTATTACGAGCTAGATACCACTCACAATCGCCAGAAGCACTATTCGCACACGTCCCAGGTGTACAAGTCGTCATGCCTCGCTCCCCATCCCAAGCCAAAGGCCTACTCCTATCCTCGATTTTCGAGTCTAAGAATCCCGTCATTTTCATGGAACCGAAAATCCTCTATCGTGCCGCAGTAGAACACGTCCCAAGCGAATACTACACCATCCCACTAAACACAGCGGAGGTAGCTAAGCCAGGGAACGACCTGACGATAGTCTCATACGGACAGCCTCTATACCTCTGCTCCGCGGCCATCGAAGCAGCGGAGAGGGCATTCGGGGCGAGTATCGAGCTAATTGATCTGCGCACGATCTACCCGTGGGATCGACCGACGGTATTGGATAGTGTGAGGAAGACCGGACGGGCGATAGTCGTCCACGAGAGCATGATCAACTATGGCGTCGGCGCTGAGGTGGCTGCTACCATCCAGGACGGGGCATTCTTGCGTCTAGAGGCACCGGTCAAGAGAGTCGCGGGGTGGAGTACGCATACGGGCTTGATGTATGAGAAGTTTGTGATTCCGGATGTTGCGCGTATGTATATCTATCCCATGCACGTCTGAAATATACTAACGATACCCAGGGATATACGATGCGATCAAGCAGACACTTGAGTATTGATGGACAGATACATATTAGCCAGAGAGAAATGAAATGTACATACCAAGGCCAGAGATCCAAGCTGTTAGTATCCTTGCCTATAAGACTACTACCAAGCGGCATTATGATAGACAATGTCAGTTTACTTATATACATTTTCCTAATCTCCACTGTATTACCACCATGTCCCCGCATTGCAATTGTAGACCATTTGCATACACGCATAACTATACCCACGTCACTATCGGCAACTAATCCCACCCAGAATATCGACTGGTTACAGTGACACCTCCGGGAAATTCCCCAAACTATACAAGTACCCGACCCGCAAACAGCGAGCCAAACCCACCGAACTTAAGCTCCCGGGGTCGGCCGTGAAAGCCTGTAACCCAACACCCCCCACGAACCACCCTAGCCTCGAAAGCTAGTTTGCGTAGATATTCTCCCAGTAGCTTACAAAATCTTGAATATTGATCATCACCTTATCTTACTTGCAACGATATCAATACTCCGTCCATGACTTCGATGCATATACATTTTATACGATTTTATACATCCCTCCCACGAGATAAGAACAAGAAGCAAAATGCAGCTGTCTAGCAGCCACAATGTCCCCCATCATATACATACACCATCAACCAACTCCAATCCATCTCAGCCTAGTAGTCGGAAACAGTGGCGAAGGTGTCCTTGGAGATCTTGATAGCATCGGTGTGCCAGGTCTTACCCTTGTCGGAGGTGGTGAGGCCGTTGGAGGAGGAACCGCTGTACAGGGAGAGGGTGTCGCCGAAGTTCTCGTCGGCGGCGCTGAGGTGGATGGTGAGGTTGTTCCAGCCTAGAGGATTCCAAGTTAGGTCATTTATTTCGCTAGGGGATGGGTGGGGGAGAAAAGGAGCGTACTGTAGGACTGGAGGGTACCGCAGTCACCGGAGCCGGTGTAGCACTCATCTCCAGAGTAGAGGTAGAGGAGGGGGTTGTCGAGGGCTATATTATTTTCCAGTTAGTATGATGTTCATCGATGTGAAAGTGGTATTAGTGGGAACATACCGTCGCTCTCCTTGGAGACGGTCTTGCCGTTCATGGTGACGACCTGGTAGACCTTGTCGTTTTCGACGTAGACTGTTTGTAATCTATGTTAGGACGGCGGTTCATACTATGATTTAATTTGGTGTTTGATCATACCCTCAAAGTCGACCTGGGTGTCCGCGGGGACAGTCACGTAGGCCTGGCCATTCTGACCATCTAATCACATCGTCATTATACCAGTTCGGGTCCCCAGTTGGAGACTGGGATCACTTACCGGGAGTGTAGGTGCTAGCGGCGACACACCACTCGTCATCCGGGGCGGGACAGCCCCTTCTGTCGTTAGCATTCTACTTTCCAGATCATGAAGGAGTTGATGAACGTACTGGGACTCGTTGTCGGGGGACCAGTTCAGCAGGGGCTGGTAGAGATCGGCGTCATAGTCACCAGCGGTGGAGGAGAGACCAATCCACAGGGACACCCAGACCTCATCGTCAGTGTTGTTCACGGTGTAGTTCGAGGGAACATCCGGGGGCACCAAGGACCAGGTGGCTCTGGTGATGTGCGCGTTGGTGGGAGGCCCGGTGTAGAAGCCATTTCCGAAGGCCCAGACATCACTCTCGACGGCAGCGGCGCGGGCAGCGAGGGCCAAAGGGACAGCGACGGAGGAGTAGCGCATGGTGATTGGTATATATGAAGGACTTTGTTAAAGAACGTAAGGGTTGAAGCGAACCGGTCGCGGAGAAAAGAGTGACAAGGCAGGAAAATGAACGAGTGCAGGAAGGATGAAGCAATGAGCCGACATGATCACCAAGGTGCCGGGAGCCCAGTTATAAAGGGTCTCGAAGGCTGCTAGAGATGAAGGCTATCTCCACCTTGAAATCAGGAAGGTTTCAAATCCGTTCTGGCGCAAATATTGTCTCAGGAGCAATGGTGGATCCGCCAGGGAGTGGAGTCGGCAATCAAGCTTGTTTTGAGTTGAAACGATAAATAATCCCGCCCTCGAACTGTGCTCACCACAATTCCTTTTCGAACCCACACAGCTGAACACGTCAGAGTTCAAAAACTAACCTTCCGGTGTTCGTTTTGTGCTGTAGTGATGAATTGGCGATCATTGAGCTACGATCATTTCGCTATCTCGCGGCATACAGAACGGGCCTGCACCGGTTGCGAGCCGTCATGCGGTTCACCATTCCACCCGTATGTAGCCTTATAAGGAATCGACTTATAAAACCAATGATCATCCACGCCCCTGAACCCCTATTGTATGGGGCCGGTCGAATTTCGGAGAGATTGATGCCGCTTACTAAGTTTTCATCAGAGACTGTCTATACCCAGTATAATTGGCGCGACCTGATGAAATGCATCGACGCGGCTGGCCTAGGCCTGAAATTCTAAATAAACTTGGCTTTGGTGCTAAGTAGGCTATATCCGAGTAGCCTTTGGTTGAGAAGCCTATTTACATGACAGGATCCCAATCCTGTCTGGTTATTATGGACTTGATATAATCACCATTAATATGGAACATGCTGACCAGACTCCGTGGGTATGCCAAGACAGATGTTGAGCCACTCACAAGCTCAGTGTTCCTTCGTCTAAAGTACCCATGCCCATATGGATGGTCATAACCTTTAGGTATCTGACTGGGCAGTTACTGATGGGAGGTTTGCATGCTGCTTGGAAGCCTTTTTCCGTAGGTATCTCTCGATCAGTGAAGAAGGCATCCCCAACAGAGACGGTGAAACCCCGAAAAGGCATACTCTCCTGAGCAGAGCTGCACTGTTTATCGGATGCTACTGAAAAAGCACCCCCACCGGCCAATGCGGAGACGGGCAAAACCGGATACGTGCGGTGGGATTCGTCCAGCGACCCACAGACTTCATATTTCCCCATCTATCATGCTCCTGTGGCCAACTCAGGAGACTGACTTCGTGGGGGTCCGGCCCGAGGAGAAATCTCGGACATGTTGCTACCCCAAAGGCCTAGGGCATGCCGCCGCTCAACCAGTTTCAGCACTTCGTACATGAACTGCCGTTCCGGACCTCCATCCGGGAACGCCTCCCAGGCCACCCTGACTGGGAACGCAAGTCGGTTTATCATGTTTCCTGGCGCATTGACAATGTACC